TATTATTTATGCAGAGAAAGAGTGTACCACTTGCAAAATTCCAAAGTGAGTTTGCTGCTATTGTTGATTTTTGTTGAAATATTAGTTAAATGAAATCTATCTATAAATAAGTCTTTATTTTTTTTATGCAGACCTGCTAGGTCAAAACATTGCAGCATTTGTAATCGCTGTGTAGCACGATTTGATCATCACTGTGGATGGATGGTTTGTAATCTTTGCATATATGGTTCTAATTTAATATATATCATGTGGTTTTTGGTGTTGTGCTGAAGTTGTTTTACTTGCAGAACAATTGCATAGGGGAGAAAAACACCCGGTATTTCATGGCTTTTCTATTATGGTGAGTTCTATGTGTGGTGCATCAATTTGTTATAGTTAACAGAAAATGCATTCTTGGTTTCTTTCATGAATATCATTTCAAGCAATCTAATCTAACTCATTAACAAAAGGAACCCCATAAAGTATGGCACATTGGAAGACTAAGCAAAAATTTAGGATGTTTTCTTTCCTTAGGTAAAATTATTGAACCGTGGTTCACAGAGAAATATGTCTGGTGGTATCTTCTTGCACTTCGGATAGAAATATCTACTTGCTGAATGAAACATCCTCTTGTTTTTCTTTTCTTCCAACAATCTGCTCACAGGTTTCATTTCATAATCATAATTAAGAACCTTGGTAAGCCTTGTTCTTTGGTCATGGAAATTTGATGTCTAACAATATCGCATTGTCGGCTAAATGGTTGCGTGAGTTTTTTAGAGCAAGCATGGGTTAGATTGGAATGGGTGGGATGCTTGTACTTTCTCTCGGTGGCATGATTCTTTTAAATCACTGGTTTCATTCAGTGTGGGTGATTGCAAATTTATGAATATTTGGATGGACACTTGAGTCATAAAGTCTCATTCCCAGGGCTAAAATTCTGTTACAGAGTGCATTTTCTGTAATCTCCTGGTGCACTTTGTTAGAGCCAAATACACATCTTTAAGGGTGTTTCTTTCCTATTAAAACTTATTTGGAACAAGATTATGTTTTTAGCTCCCTGTAGTTTTCTGCCCCTGGATGTTTGAAGCGGGCTGCTGATATAGTAGGAGGAAGAGACAACATGGACTACCCTCAAAAGAGAGGAATGGGCCAAAGGAGCAGACTGGTTTTCTCATAGAGGAGAGGGGAAATAAGGAGGGAATTGGAGGAATGTTCTGCTTAGCAGAGAAAATGAGATAAGAAACTGTTGGGGTTGCTACCGGCCACAGGATTCTGGTGTTATCATGCAGAGTGTGGAATGTGAGCAGGGAGGGGGGAGACTGGGAGTTCCCTTGGCATCTGTGTTACCAGTTCCTGTATATCTTTTTTTTTCTGTAATACAGAGGCTTCCTCCAAATTTCAGACTTGGTCTCCATATTTTGCATATCTGCAATACAAAATTCCTACAATTTCCCTGGCATACAGAGAGATCAGACAGCCATGCTGCATTCCAGCTTTTATCTTTTTCTTCCTCTTGTCTTAGTGGATAACTTATCCTCACCCTTGTTGCACTTGTACCTTCCTTTCTCTTTCGAAAATAAAACATTTAGTCCCTACTCCCTACCTGTGGTTCTTGAATGTTTCTGTACCAATTCACTGTTCCACTATATCTTAAAACTCTTTTGTACTATGTGAACATGTGTTTTTCAATATGATATTTTAGCATCATGTGACATTCTTCAGTTTTTTCTTTTTTCCATTCCCTTAGTATATAAGATACTATAAGATCATAGTAATAAAAATTTAATCACTGATTTTAGCTATACCTTAAATTTTCAATAAATTATACATTCTTCATCTCTGGTTCTATTTGTCTTTGTGATTCTTTCACATCTTGTAGGCACTTCCTTATGTGCTTGTATGGAACAATTGCCATTGGCTTGGTTCTTGCTGGAAGACTAAAAGAACTAAAAGTTATTGATATTCTAACTGGTAATATAGATTTGCAACTAATATCTATCTTCATTCTTCAGATTAAGTTGTTTCTTTTACTAATTTTGTGACTTATATCCTTGTCATAACTATGCAGTCTATTATGGAATAGAAAATTCTTTTATGGATTTAGCACCTAATGTTGTGCAGGTGAGGGATTTATTTTTGTGTCTCTACATGCATGTTGATTGTTATGCATTTCAATAATTTTATTTTGATTCTCTATTTTCCATTTAGTGGTTAATGATGTTTTGTTATCCTACAGTGGTTATTGGGATCTTACAACACTCAGATACTTCTTATGGTGTTCCTTGCAATCGTAGCAATGCTGTTAGCTGGTTTCTTTGGTTACCATGCAAAGCTTTGCCTTAGCAATACTACCACTAATGAGGTACTTTCTACCTGTAACCTCAGAATGTGTTGAAAGTAAATTTTTAGTAAATTATAAGGAGCCAGCAAATGGCAAGGAATCTTTTAACCTTCTTCATGCAAATACTGTGCCTCTTAATAGTTGAATTAGAGGTGTATAGAATATAAATGCCATTTGTCCATGTCTATTATGTTAGAAGAAAATGCTAAACAGAATTATTAATTTGGAAGTTGGCATGGTCGTGGATATCATAAAATAACAGTGATACACATGATATGATGTTCTAGAACAATATTTGTATTTGGGAAAACTGACAGCTTTGTTAGAGGTTCAATATACATTCTGCTGCAACCTGATAAATTGTCGTATGAAATAAAGCTATCATTAGGTAGCACTAGAAGCAAATAACCACCTTTTTTCTGGATAAGAAAATATTTCGAGTGGCTCACTGGCTCTGTATGGTCCTTGTAATGCCTGCTTGTTTATCTTCCTTAGAATATGATAATTTATAATCTACTACCTTCTTTATCTGGTGAAAGGAATGTGAATTAATATATTAGTTTTGATGAGTTCATTGTTTGTTGTGTGTGTTTTTTCCTTCTGTTATCATTGTCTCCATCCCACCAATAGAAGAATCCTTCCAGTGCAGGATTCAATCTCCCGTAATTTGCTATCTCCCTTTTCCATTCCCTTAGCTCCTCTTCCCCTCCCCACTGTAAGGCGTATTATAAGCTTCCCCTTGGACTTGAAAAAACCCAATAGCGGAATCCTTGCATTGAAAAAACCCAATAGCGGAATCCTTGGACTTGAAAAAACCCAATACTGAAGTAAATAATTCAGGTCTGGCTACTTGAATTCTGATGAGTCCCCTGTACAGTTTCTGCTGGTTTGTGAATGCAAAATTGCTCTATTGTTGTTTTGTATTATCCAATCTTGGTGGCTAATTTAACCGGAAAACTGTTTGCTTATAAGAGGTGCTAATGACACCCTGATGCTCAATGAAACTTAAGGTTTCTATGTGGATCACAGACCTTCAAGTGGCAAGATTATATGGATTGGCAAAGAAAGTTAAAAGAAGCAAAGGTCAGTGCTGAAGCCCTAAAACAAAGTATCAGTGGAATGAGCAGTGAAAAACAGCCCTTATTAAGCAAGTGGAGAGCCTTCTTTCGAAAATCACCTCTAGAAGATGTGGTAGTTGTTAAGAATAATGCTTACGATAAAGGTTTCTTCCACAATATTCAGGAGGTTATTTTTCCTTTCTCTACAAGGCGGTCCTTTATTCAAAACAAATTCAAGTCCAGCTGAGTATGCTCCTAGCATACGTGTATACGTGTCTTTCTTGGTGGTTAGTTGCACATAAATTGAGTTGGTAGCACGTTTACGCATTTTTTTTAAGATTACCCAATAAGTCATTGTAAAACCAGAAATATAATATATTAAATTCTCTGTTGTCTATTAGTATTCTAGACTAGCTGTAGAGTGAAAATTGATTGTTTGATAGGCCATGTGTCTGCATTTTTCTTCTGTTGGTTGTTGTACTATTTACTATTTGCTAAAGTAGAAATATATCAGTATTTAATGCATTTATTTTATTTTAGAATTTTGGTCCAGCTGTACTTTGTTCATTTATTTATTTATATTATATATTATGATAATGGGGTGAAAGTGAAACTCCATGGGCGGTGGGCACGGGTAACCTGGCTGTTATTTGGCTAATTACCATTTACCTGCGGGTTTGAAGTTTGGGAGATCTCCCTCGACCTAATATATGTTTTACGATTGTATGTGTGTGTTTATCTTAAACTTGTAATACAAATGTTGTTAAAAGAACTAGTATTACAGATAATTTGATCTGAGGATTAGCTCGTGTAGTGCGCTAACCACAATCATAAAAAAGCCCGTGTCTGCTGTACCCTGTGCTTAGAATCGTTGGACAAAATATACTAGAGCAAGAAGATTGAAGCCTCGTGGGTTGGGAATCCTTTGTTTATGTCCTTTCTCATGATCAACACGATAGCTACGAAGAAACTACGAACTTTCGATGACTATGTATGTTATTCAATAATTATCTCACTAATTAGTTTGGTCTAAGGTTAATTTTGATAGATATAAGTTTTCAAAATTAGAATTGTATATTTTAAGGATGAATTTGAGTTATAATTCAATTAGAGAATGAGACTTCCAATGAGGAAAAACATTAACGGGAAGCCAATTTTCATTTAAAATAACGAGATTCCAGAAACAATATAAAACAGAAACCGGAAGGGAAAAGTGTGAAGCCAATCAGTTGCAAAAACAGTTTTAGGACAGTGTCTGTAGCCCCCGACTTTTTTTATTATTTTTTATTTTTAATATACTGCTTTTTTTTTATTACCCAAATAACCCATTCCTAATTATTTACCTAACTGGCCCACTTCTCCAGCCCAAGTGAGATATCGGTTGGGGGAACTAATTTCTCACTTGGACCCCCCTCTTTTTTTTTTTTTTTTTTTTTTTTTTTTGAATCCAGCAACCGATTTCTTAATTGGGGTACTTTTTTTTTTGCTTTTTGTATTTTAAAATTTTAAAAATTATTTTAATTTAATTTAAAATTCAGAATTTGAATATTATTTTTAATATTTAAGTTTTATATTTTGAAAATTTTATATATTTAATATTATTATTATATTTAAATTTTAAAAATTATATTTAATATTTAAATTTTGTGTTAAAAATATAGATAATGTTAAAAAATTAAAAATATAATTATTTTTAAAAATTAGTTTAATTTAATTTAAAATTCAGAATCAAAATTTAAATAATATTTTTTTAATTTTTAAAATATAGATAATTTAATATTTTAATTTAATAATTCATTTGTTATATTTTAAATATGTATCATTTATTTTTTTTATTTTTCTTTAATAATTATGGATAACTAATTAAAAATGAATTTTTTTAAAAATATTTTAAATTAAATTTAATTAATTTATATAAACTTTTAGGTTATATAAAAATAAATATTTATATTATATATTAAATTTTGTATTATAAATCAATGAATGTTGTATGAAAGTCTAATTTTTAAAATTTTTGAATGACTTTTAAAAGGTGTCAAGAACATTTTTGAAACTTGAAAGTGATACTATCGGAGAAATAGTTATACAAAGGAAAAAATTAATTTAGTAGAGACATAATAAAAGGTCACGATGTGAGTCAATTGATATATTTTGTTGGTACGAACAGATTAGTTAAAAATACGAATTTTTAAAATTTTTAATTATTTTTTATCATAATAAATTTGTTGATATTAAACATTTAAGTTATTTAACAGAATATTTATATAACATTATGTATTATATGTCAAATATTTTATTATAAATCAACCGATTTTTCACTGGAAAAAAAAAAAAAAAAAAAAAAAAAAAAAAAAAAAAAAGAGGACCCAAGTAAAAAACCGGTAAGTGGGTCAGTTAGGTAAATAATTAGGGAATAGGTTATTTAGATAATAAAAAAAAGTATATTAAAACAAAACAAAAAACTCGTGTACAATCGAGATCACGAGGAGACAGCGAATGCAATTGCAATTTCAGTCACAACGATAAAGTTTTGGAGGGTTTGACTATCACAATTGTGGGTACCACCTCAACTGAAATTATCTACAATGTCGCGTAATTCCAAGAATCGTGACAATAATGCTATCTCAATAATAAAATAAAAAAAACCAAGTTATTTCCAAGGTTGAAGAAATCAAATCTACTGTTGTTATCCAAGGGACGCCCAAGCTGAAAGGTGATCGACAAGGAAATCAAGATAGCCATCCAGTGATTACTTGTAGAAATTAAAGAAATCAAGTTATTATGTTATATATGAAATATCCAAAGTATACGGAAGAGGAACTAGGAGTATATCACGTGAGATATTTTCTTTGAAATATTGATCCCCAAGTAAACCATTTTACCCTTTATTCACTGATATATGTACGAGATTCTTCATCCTTCTATTTACAATTCATTTCAATAAAAAAAAAAATTAAAAAGATGCAAACATTTTAGGTAATAGCCTAATAGAATTTTTGGCCTTTGATTGCCTGCTTCGGAGCAAATAACATCTTCACTCGTCCTTCTCCCTTATGTGTACGAGTTATCGAAAATAAACGGGTTTTGTGGACCAACTATGAAAAGAAAAAAGCTTCTCTTATGGCAATATCTATTGCATAGTGGAAGTGGACGCTTGAGGGAAATTGGAAGGCAGAGGCTTGATGTCCCTGCTTCGCATAAAAGACAAGAATTGTTCAGGTAGTTCTTCCAAAAGAGCTTGCACGACAGATATCTGCCCACCTGTCAAAAACACGAGAGACGGTTCGTTTGAATGGAATGAAATTAATAATTAAAAAAATGGACAAAAAATCAACTATTTCAAAGACAAGGTTAATAATCCATGAACACCTAGGTGCCAAATGACACTTAGAGAACGAAAGAGAAGTATGTATATATGAAAAATATGATAGGTGGTAACAAGAAGAAATTAGAAAAATGATAAGTGTTAATGATTTGAATGATATATATAGTGATTAACTTCTGAAACAACTGGTACTTACTCTCTACTTCTCTCATAGGGACAAATTGCACCATGTCTCGTGTAGCTACACGACCAGTAGAACTCTCTAACCGATGCCCATTATCAGCATCCAGCACCTGCAAGCCAACAAATATATTCATTCTCTCCAACAACAAAGCATTTTAATTCGAATAAATGATTAATGGGGTCTATGAAAAAAACTTAGACAAGAATAAATAGTAAACCTCCATGCTAGTGAAATCAGCACTTCCAACTCCAACAATAAGAATCGACAGGGGAAGGTCAGATGTTTTAACCAGAGCATTTATTGTTTCTTGAAGATCCGTAACAACTCCATCCTTTGAGAAGATGAACATTTGATTGGTTATTCATAACCTTATCACAAAAAAAAGTCACGCATAAGAAAAAAAAGCATCACCAATTCATTATCTTACCGTTATGATAAGCAATACATAATACTTTGTGTTGCTATGTGACGTGAGGGACTGGACAGCCATTTGTGCGGCCATGTTGATAACTGGGCCAAATAAAGTGGGTCCAGACAGAGTAACACTGCGTAAAGCACTGGCATAAGCCTCCATTATGCCTTCAACTCCTACAACCTAAACACAGATAAATAACTATTAAATTGACAGAACAATTTTTTAACATCAAATAATAATAAAATAATGAAATGATGATGATGAAGGAAAGGAAAAGCTTCTCACCTCAGAGCCACCGGGACTCCCATTTAGATTAAAGCAGTGGGATACATTGCCACCAGGTATCTTTCCTCCAAAGCCCCAAGCAGGAAACCTCCTATCAGAATCATAAAACTGAATGACTTCTCCAACCTCCATTATAGCCTACAAATAAATACTATGTTAGATAATGCCTATGCCACCCCATTATTGAAGTTAGTCAGTACCATAAAGAAGTTAAAAGAAACACCGTCTTGATTTTATACAAATATCAAACATAATACTGGATCATAAGCTGTAAAACCTTGAGCGAGATCGATCCATTGGGTTTCACAAGTTAATGATTGACAAGTTTAGATTCATTCATTGACAAGAAGTAGATATCAAGCTTACCTTTTGGTACGAGTTTAACCGACCATATGCATCAATGTAATGCAAAGAATCTGAATGTTGAGGATTTCCATTTGAAGCTGGACAAATTTTGAAGCTCTTAATAAACTAAAAAGATGAAATTCACAATCACTATTGCTAATAGAACAATCGTTACTTACCAGTGAAATCTACAGCAACCATGAAGTTCAGTTCAAAACCACTAGATATGTAATCAATAAAACTAAACTGTTCCTTTTCGCAATATTGGTCCACAAACAATTGACCCTTCAGAATCTACAGCAAAAATTTCCAATAAAGTGTGAGGTTAAGCAAAGGAGTAGAGAAAAAAGGTAATTCTTTTGCATGGGTCAACCAACACCTTCTCTTGTCTGTGGCTTGTGGACGCTATGACAAAATTTGCGCCTATTTTCTCTTTGTATAGCTTTTCAAGATCTGCTACTGACTTCTTCATTTTACTGATGACAATAAATGTTGATATCAATATATTTTGCACCCATGAACCATAGTAAAGTTAACTATAAATGCCAAACAAAAATATAAACCAATTTCTAATAATTGCATTATTACCCGATAAGTACATGATCGCCACTGCTATTGAAATCAAAACACTCAATCACTAATGGATTATCCTGCACAGAATTAGAAAATTGGATAGCTAGATAAATATCTCACGGGAGAAAGTAATTAGAATATTATAATAACCCATGATCGTAAACAAGCCCAAAGATGGCAAGCTTACTTTGCTTGCAAACTTCTGGGCACTAAGACAAACTGGTTTCCATTTTGGATTTAAATTGTCGTTGATAACTTCGGTCTTGCATATAGGAATATAACCTCCACTCTCAACCATTCTTGATATTCTTAGAAAAGGGTCCTACAAGAAAAACGAAACGGATATGAGACAAGGGACAAGCCAAACAAAATAATAAATATTCACTTAAATAGGGAACATGAATTAAGTGTGTATTATACGTACACTTTTTGAAAAAACGTCCTTGTTATCCAAGTGAGAACAACGCAAGATCATCTCAACTGCACTCCTTGAAGCAACAGTCTCCTCAGCATGAACAGTAATTGTCCCTAGGTTTCTTGAACCACCAAGACCGCTTTTGTTTTGGAGCCTTAATGTCAATCTACTACTTGCTTTAGTCACTACCTGCCACCGGGGAGACACCAACACACACAGTTCGCACCAGCATCAAGCAGTGTCCATAAAACTCTCATTTCTCAATGCAACAAATGATAACATTATCTTACAACTTTTTTCCATTCCATTTTTCTCTACGTTTCCCATTATATCACATGTCATATTTATCACTTACTCTTTCCACTTTTATCAAAATGAGAAAAAACGTTTAACATTGTCCATAAGCAACGCTGGAAAAAGTAATCACAAATTTTCATTCACCTTTTGTAATTCGTTTTTTTCTTTCTTCTTACCTCAAAAGTCATAACCTATTTTATCACATACATCTCCTTTTTTTTTCTCTTTCCATCTCTCTTAAATTGTGGGAAATGCTATCATCTCCTATTTAATCACACACGTCTCCTTTTAATCTCGTAAGTCACAAGTAATGTTGTGGGAGACTGAGTACTGAGTAGTATTTTTCAACGGGAAATGCTATCATCACAATCTTTAACCTTTGTTTTATTTGGTAAAATTTCATGTTAACTTCGTTATGAAGTGTGAGTTCACATTGTTTAATAATTAAGACAATATATTATTTCACTTAATAATAAATAGAAGGGCAAAAGGAAAGTATGGCAATGACAAAATATGTTAGGTTTCATTCATTAGTGGTATGTAATTATTTCATTTTTCATTTTTGGTAAAAAATCTTTGATAAATTTTGTTTGCAAACATTTTATATCAAATTAAGTTAGTTTTTATGTTTCATTTTTCTTTACAAAACCTAATATCCTTCTTCTCCTTCTTTCAAACTTTTTAATTTTTTTTATTTCTCTATCTTTTCTTTTCCAACTATAACACTCCAAATTAAACGAATTGTATTTAATCAGAATCCATTACCACATAACCACGAACTTGAATCTGTGTAAAGTGTGAACTTATTGTGTATTAGAAAATGAAAACTAAATATTGGATATATAAAGACCAAAATAACATGGTTTTCATCAACGATTGCAAATGAATACGAGACTGACCTCTGATAAATTGCAACTGGCCATTCCAAGGAATTCCTGATCTCCCAGTTTTAATGTCTGCAAGAACAGATGAAATTTTTTCTTGGTTTTCAAATGTAAACTTCATGAGTCTAATTCACTAATTCGGCAAGAGAAAGTGAGAATTTAAATTTGGAGGAGTACTATTACAATGCAAGATGCTTGCTCATATCTAAACTTTTTAAGTCTCGCTTCATTTTATTTCACATCACCATACTAAGTTGACTTCCCTTCCGCTCTCGTTATGCATTTTAATTATAAAAATCAACCATAAATTAATTTCTTTAATCACACAAGTTCATATAAAGTTGAATGGAGCAAAACATGTCTTATTTTCAAATCTAATAACTACAGTCCGTTTATGTTAACTTATATATTTATTGAATAAATAGTTTATGTAAATACCTTAAATATTTATTGAATAAATAATTAAATATAAAAACTTAATGTATAATTTGTTTTTATAATAAAAAAAGAAATAACAGCTTATAAACTTATTATGAGCTATTTTCATAAACTCTTTCCATCACTAAATAACTTACCCGTTGTTGTAAAAAAGTAAATTCTCTTCTCTGAAAACAAATTGTTGTTTGCATATTAATTAGTATATGAATTGATGTCAATCATATTATCCTTTTCATTTATAAAATCACTTAATAGAGTAGTTAAATGAATTACAAATTACAGCATAAAAAATTAAAAATAATAACATCGAAGGCTTTATATATAGAGAGAGAGAACACCGTAAATATAACTAAATAAGATATATTATGAACACACTCATTTATAATGGTTGAAATATATTGAATTTTTTTAATATATATATATATATATATATATATGTGTGTGTGTGTGCGTGGGTTCTACATTAATATTTATTTGATGGTCTTTTCACATATTTTTATAATTTTCAATAAATTTTAACTGATATGAAAAAGTGTGTTAATAGAAATGTGTTAGAGGAGAATGGACCAATCCATTCCTATAGTATTTTCAGAAGATGAGATCCTAACCATTCAAAAAAATATTGAATATAATTTTTTTTTATTATAGAGTGGAGGTTTTAAGAAATAATGGGGGAGATTTTAAAATTTGAGAATCTCAAGTTTTTTTTTTTTTTGACACGAGAGAACTTCTTTCTTGTTAGAAAATGTGCCACTAATGCTCTCCGTAATTAAATACTTTTCTTCCGAAAATTTTAGAAAGTTAGGAGTTGAGATTTTTTTTTTTTTAAACTCAATCGGAAAGTATCACTGTTATAGCCTTGAGGAGCAAACAGTGCATAAAATTATAGAGGGCAGAGTTATTATTATGTTTACAAACCTTGGTGGGAATGCTATGATATTTTGTATCAATGTCATAAACATGAAATCTGGAAGAAAAGTAAAATGAGAGGGAATTATCAGTCATTATTGCAATACAGAACACACCATTTAGCTTGGAATGGACGCAAGACAGATCAAGGAAAGCTTACTCGAGTGGTTGCACAATTTCGAACTGAAATGCAACACTAATTTTCTCTATCCACTCTGGATTCAGACAATTCATTATGATTTCAGTGCGACCTAATTCTTCTAATTTACCATCTCTTTTCTTTGCAAATACTACAACCATGGGATCACTCTGAAATAAAAATAGGAAGAAAAAAAAGATATTGACACATAAAATAACAAAAAAGATATTTAAGATATGGTCATTATATTTTTCATGTCTAAAAAAACAAATATTTTGTAAATAAAGTCTTGACATTTACATGAATTTGTGGAGGAACTGTGGCTCTACTAATAAAATTTACATACTAGTTTCCGCAGCCTAAAGAATATTTTCAAAGCATTTGCTTCACTTGGTCTAAATGAAAAAGCATCTAAGATGAATTAATATCTGAAGTTATTTTTATTGAAAAAATGGTACTACAAAATCCAAGAAACTTTATATTTGTCCAAAATAATTAAGATCATGTTCAATTAAGGATTTTAAGGCAAATGGTAAGGTATTTCAAGAGAAAAACGGTCATACATATATAAATAAACAAGAAACGTCGAGAAATATAAGAAAATGTCAACCATTTCAAATCTTTGTATAACATTTGCACCCTTTAAATAAATTAAAATATACCTTGGATGTAATGTCCCGATCGAGCAAGTTAGATGCTGAAAGAGATAACTGCAGCAAAAAGATTTCGAAGACCTTAAACATTTGTCGACCTTGTCCAGTTGTCCAGGTTCAAACAATAACATAGTACATTTAAAAAGAAAGAAAAATTGACAGAAAATAAACTAAACATTAATAAATTTTTTAAATATTCCTTAAAATATTGAATATCTATCCATTTAGTTCTTAAAGTAATATATTTTACTATCATTCAGGACGTGTTAATTTGAAGCATTTTTCAATACTTCAAAGATTGAGTAGCATGATTCCTGACACTTAAAGGATTAAGTATATCATTTTCTTTAGGAACTAAACAATAGAAAGAGTAATACTTTGAGAATGAAATTGATCGATGGTTAAGAATTATAGAACAACACTCAAAAACATTAATTTTGATGGACGAATTTGCTAAGGTAACATTTGCTGGTGATTTTTTTTTTTTTCCAGAGCTTATGTTTTAGAATCACATTTTCAAAGCTTCAAGCTTGAGAACATGAAGCTCGAATTTGTGAAATTTGATTTTTTTTTAATCAATATTTGGCAGTTTATCATGACTGATATGTTTGAAATAATAAATCCCATAATTTCTTGTGTCTTTGGATTTTAGTAGGGATTCTCAAAATCACAATTTACGTAAATCTTACCAAAAGACAAGCTTTGTTCCAATCATGATTTAGATGTCGACTTAATTTCAAACATACAAGGATACTCATCATTATACAACATTACAACTCGTTTAAAATGTGTATTAAAGGTGGAAGAAAGAAAAGGATAAAATAGTGATATATCATTAAAATTTAAAAAAATAAGAAAAGTGTAAAAGAGTAAAATATTTTAAATGTACGTGTATAACTATAATATACAGTGACCATACTTTAGGAATTTATAATTTATTTTTACAAGTTAATTAAAGTATTTTATATTTTATATTTTATAAGTTCTTAACCTTTTTTTAATATCCTTATCAACTTACATAAAAAAAAATTATCTTTTTTAATTTATAAACTATTTTATGTCATTCTACATTTATCATAATTTTATCAAACACTTTTCAATTTAACCGGCTAACTTCTATCTTTTAAAAAAATGTAAAGAAAAATTTCTTTTTCCTCAAGTTTTGCTTTCAAATGTTTAGAATATTTTTTAATAAAAGGAAAAAAAAGATTATATTGATTAGATTATATTAATTATTTTTCAGTTAATAATTTTATTTGTCCATTTTAAATATAGCAATATACTTATTTAGTGTAATTGTTTTTTTTTTATATATATATGAAGAAGCAAACAAGTTTGCTAGGCGCCTAGGCTGACCCGTAAATGTGATCGAATTGTTTATTTGAGTTTGAAATTGGATGAATTTGATATTTTAATATAACATATTGATATTAAAATTATACATAACTAAATTATAGAATAAAAAGAAACGTAGAAGTTAAATTTAGATATATTTTAAAATAAATACAGTCATTATAAAAAATAATTGTAAATATAATTATTTTTTATCATAAAAATGATTATTGATACACATTCGAAAAATGTATAATTATAGGATAAGCAAGAATAAGTAGAAATATAATGAAAGGTGTCCTAACTCTAGTTTAAAAGTGTCAGACTTTGGTTTGTTTTGTTGTACTTGTATTGAAATTTGAAAGTCTTTATCTGTCCTTCGTTCCATTTCCCCTGGTCACGACGCTGGTTTGACCGGACTTGAATAAAAAAATGGATAAAAGATGAAGAAAAGTTCACGTCAATGCACAAATAACCTCTTATATCATTGCTTGAAAAGCATTTTAAGAAATGAGTAAAAGTAAACCCTAAACCCTAAAATCAACAAAGGTTTAGATTTAGAGGAGAAAATATTTAAGCATTTTAGAATTGAAAAACAAAATTTAGAAAAGAATTGTTGAAATACTAATAAGATTTTATAGAAAAAATATTATACACAATGCCATTAATTAAAAAATAAAAAAATAAAAAAAAATAAAAAAAAAAGAAGAAGAAAGAATTGGATGAATAAAAGGAGCGTGAAGAAAAAGAGTGCGATGGTGATAGGGATTGCGAAAAGGTACCTGAAGTTGGGTGAAGATAGGTTGAAAGCCTTGCGTCTTGTAAAAGAAATGAACGGCGTCGTTTAGTGATTCTCTTCCATTGCCATTGCCATTACCTCCAACCGCTTGCTTCCCTCCTTTCACATCTGAAAAACAGCCTCCCATTCTCTCTCTGCCTAATACCAAACAACAAACTACAAACGATCTTTCATTTTCCCCTTACCGCGCTTACATATATATATATTATATAATAATATTATTTTTTAAATATTAATATTTTAAGTTTAATGACTACCAAAACGCGTTTCCCAATTCCCTTTCTAATTCTTCTCCAAACTTTATATTTTCATTATTCCATCGTCAATCACTCAAATATTTTCAACATTTCATTATACCTCATATCCTTTCCATATCATCACAAATGAAATGGATCACTAGGGGAACATTTACGTCAATTACAAAAATAAATCATATTAAATATGCTGGATCTTTGGACCCAGATTTTGTCCCAACCATTCAAAATTTAATTTAAATAATCAAATATTAAATTAAATAATTATTTTATAATAAATTTATTAAAATATATTATTATTTTTTAATTATTCGGAGACTGAATTGATTCGAAAGCTATAAGAATAAAATAACTTGAAAATATGTGTACACGAAAATAAACTATTGTTTCTTATACACTATTTAGTTGGACCCTACTTATTTCTAATGTGATTTCCATGTTAAATGCATACAGTTTTTTTCCCCATAGTATCTACTTTTTTAATAAAAATTTTAAAGTATATTGATCTCTATTATAATTTAAAAGTTGCGTTATTTTTAAATATATAAATATATGTTACACTTTTGTTTTAATCTATAATGTTAACTTTGTAATGAAAACTATTTTATCTTTTAAGTTATGTTCAGTAGAGATAAAAGAGAATAAAGAGAAATAAAGGAAGAGGAAGATAAGAGAAATGAAGAGAAGTAGATAAAAACTAGAATGAAAATGAGAGAAATAATGGGAAAGAAGAGAATAAAATTAAAGGAATAAACAAATGTGAGTAAATAGAAGTAAAAATAAAAGTCATTTGATTGAAAAATAATAATAATAAATAGTGTGAAATTTATTTTGTAAAATACTTAATTTAAAATTTAATAGATAAATATTATATTATAACTGTCCATTTAATTTTATATTTATCATTTAATTACTTAAATCTTCACAAATACATAAATATAAATTGTATATATTCATTTTTGGAAGGTTTAGAGTAGTATATATAGGATTTTAAATTTGAATCTTGACATTGTAAATGAAATCTTAATATATTAAAATATATATACTGTGTTACTGTACAAAGTAAAGACTAACATAATATTATGTTGGAATGAAATAGAAGAGAGAAACTTTTGAAAATTTTTATCGATTCAATTTGTAGGAGTCTAGGAGAGGATAATGGAAAAAGCAAAATTTCTTAATTTTTATCTAATTTTTTAGTTTTTCTACGATATTGAGAGAATTTGAATGGAAAGTGATGAATTTTTAAATAATTTTAATATAATGTTTAAAATATTTTTATTTATATTATTAAATTTTAAAATTATAAAAATATAAAGTAAAATAATTTTTTAAAATTTCTCTTCATCTCTTATAAACCAAATAAAAATAATTAAAAAAAGTTATCTTTCCTTTTTCCAATTAAACAAAGTTTTTAACTTTTCCCCTCTTATTCCCTTATAATTTCTGACTTCTATTTGAGTAATAGTGTGAAAATTTTTACATGCATAAGTTTATCCATAAACTCTTTTTAAAATTTAGATAAAAATGTATGATCAATTTAAAAAAAAAAAAAAAAAAAGGTCATATCAAATTTAAAACCAGATATTAGTTATACAAAAATATTAAGATCATATAGTAAATTGTCAATAATTAAGATTTTTTTTATAATTTAAAATAATTAATGTTTCAATTATATTGTTAATTAGCAAATAATTTATTCCAAAGCTAATTAATTTTTCTATATTAATTATTAGTAAAATTTAATAACTTTTAATTTAACAATTGGATCGATGAAATTCAACAAACACCATAAGTTATTGAGCGGAATAACCTTACCAAGAGTTATTTTGTAAGTTATTTGATTCGTCCCCTCTCTCTCTCTCTATATATATATATATAGAGAGAACAGGGTTATACTAACACTGGTGTAACTTTTACTAAGTATTACACACCGCTCAATAACTTTATATTAAATGTAAATTTTGTAAATCCAACCGTTAGATTACTATAAAAATATAATAATTATATTACGAATAAAAATATTATTAATAATAATAATATATTTAATTAATCTTTACTTATATATAGTAAGAAAAAACAAAGTCTCTTTGACGTGTTATGAGTGGGCGAAAAAACAAATAAGACGACAGTTGAACCTAAGAAATAACGCCTGAAATTGAACAGAAAAGTTTCCATTTTGTTGGATTAGCATTAGCCCCTTCCAATGGGCCTGTCTGAATCATAATTTTCTTCGTCATGCTCATTACGTTTCCAAACATTTAATTATGAATTAATGATTTATATATCGACAATCATATCTTTTAAATTATTTTATTTTATTTTTATTTTATTAAATAAGTAAATGATATGGTATTATTAAAAGATATGATTGGTTGTCAGTGTAAAAAAAATTTATACTAGCAGTGTACAGGTAATTAACTCTTTAAATTATTGTATTTTATTATTATTGTATTAAATAAGCAACTGACATGGTACTACTAAAAGATATAATTGGTTGTCAGTGTAAAAAAACTTTACACTGACAGTATACAGGTGATTAACTCTTTAAGTTATTTTATTTTATTATTATTTCATTAAATAAGCAACTGACATGACACTATTAAAAGATGAGTTAATTACCTATACATTGTTTAAAGTTTTTTTTACACTAGCAACTAATTATATCTTTTAATTGCATCATGTCACTATTAAAAGTAAATATATTTATAATGACATGTCACAATTAGAAGATATAATTGGTTGTCAATGTAAAAAAATTTTACACTGGCAGTGTATAGGTTATTAACTCTTAAAAGATATAATTGGTTGTCAATGTAAAAAAAATTACACTGACGGTGTATAGGTGATTAACTCTTTTTTATTTCCTATAAAAAAAAATTTAGTTTGAAAGTGTTTTTAATTTGTATCGAACTATGTTCATATACCACCTACGAAATTTCAAGGAATATAATTAATGATACACTTATACGCATTTAATTATAAATTGGTATATGGTTGATTCACTAACTATGGTCAAATTAGTTTTTCATTTATTTATAAAAGATTAGTTTAAAGTAATCTACTTTTATTATCTGTTGCTGACCCCATCCTATCTCCTTATTGGATTACGTGAAGGAAACAAATTGTTCACTATTTACGTGAAGAAAACAATTTGCAGTATAGTTCATAGTTTGAATAAAAAGAAAAAGTATATGTGACAGTTTGAATTTTTTGTGGCCGATGATATTACCTCTTAGTTTCTGCTTCATTTTCTTATATTATATATAATACGACTTTATCATGAAATATTTTAAAATTATTATTAACTAAAGAGATTTTGATATGTTTAAGTAAATCCTTTTAATAACACGAAGAGATAAGTTTTAAATATTTTTTAATGATAAATATTTCTAATAAGCATTTCTTTACAACAGTAAGAAATCTGCATTCTTTATTATTTGATGAGTTAATCATCCATAAACTGTTAGCGTAAAGTTTTTACACTAACAACTAATTATATCTTTTAAATTATTTTATTTTATTATTATTTTATTAAATAAGTAACTGACATGACATTATTAAAAGATATGATTGGTTGTTAGTAAAAAAATTTTATACGATGTATAGGTGATTAACTTAATAAAAAATGTTTTACAATAAAAAAAAGTTTCAAAAACACTTATTAACTTATGTGAAACCATGCTTAAAAGTTTGAATGAGTAGTTAAGGTTGGTTTTGGGTTCATAGAGGTAGTTCTGCAGTGCAGAGATAGAGTGAGGATCAATTTTGTAAAATGATTATTGGCTCGAGAACACTGCTTTCAACCCCAATTGCAGTGTCTTGTTCTTTTCGTATTTCTATTTTCGTGAATTCTCTTCTCTCATCTCTTCTAATTGAGATGTTGCAGTGGCTGCAACAACTCATCTTATATATCCTCCAATACATTTTTATAGCAATTTTTAAAATACATTTTTTATTATAGATGTAAATTTATTAAAAATTGTGTGTCTCACCTCTTACAATTAATTGAGTTTTGATTAAACTTTAACTGATAATAAAAAATTTAAAATAAATATGTTATACTCATTTTGTTAACTACTAGCACTTCTCAATTTTATCTATAAACTATTTTGTGAGATAATATTATAATTATTTTATGTTACTTTAAATATTTTTATGAATTTTTCAAACATCATAATTCAAGTATTTTATTAAACTAATTGAAATAAGTTATTTTCAATCAAATTCTATTGTTTTTATTTTAAAATTAACGTACAAAAGGTACTCCGTGTCTTTGTGAATTATTTTTCAAAATAATAAATAATAAAATATAATAATGGGTGATTATTATACCGATAATTATAAAGTAAAATTTACATTAAAAAAATAATATTATTATTTATAAAAGGATAATTATAAAGGTAAAATTATCCAAAAATATGGATATCAAATAAGATAATCTCCTTTATTAACCGTATAAATATATACTTTATGTTGAGAATATGTTTAAATATCTTTAAAAAAATAAATTAATTTTTTATAAGAATCTTTTATTTATGTTTCAAATATTTATACTTAATCTGTTTTGATTATTTTATTATTTGTTTCCTTATTTTTAGAATAAGATAATACTAATATTTGATTTTGTATGACAATTTTTCTCTATAATTAGAGATCTTGTGAATAAAATTAGATTATACTTCTTTGGTAAAAAATTATATCTTTACAAAATACAAATATAAAATAACCTATCAGTAGTATTAGAGTCACAGGTTGGATTCAGTGACAACCAATAAATTATAGCTCATATAAAGTGATAAGTGATATATAAAAACAAATTTCGCTGCATGAAAGGTTAGGTCTCTTGTTTGAGGAGATGATTGTTGGGATACAAACAAGTCTCACATTGATAAAATAAGAAAAAATAACAACTTATAAAACACACACATACGTGATGACTAAAATAAAATTGTGAAAACTTAGGTTCAAAGTTAATATCTCATCATTGTAGAGTTGTGTGTAAAATAACTTTATAAAAATAACTCTTATAAAATCTTCCTTCAAATAAATACTATAAAATAATTTCATCTGACTTGTTTGTATCTCAATACCTGACTATGAGTTTTGAAAGAAAATATCTATGGTAATATTACTTAATATAATATTATTGGTCATTAGTTATATAATATTAAATCAATTAAAACTTAAAAAAATGAAAACAATGTAATGTAAATTGTGAATAATTTTGCTAGAAATGATAATAAAGCGAGACGCGGATAGATTTTGCTCTCCCCATTCTCGTAAAAGGCAAAGTGTGCTTGGATTTAGATTTTAAAGGGATGAGTTCATGTTTTCAAAATTCGTTCCATCGCATTAGATTTTATTGAGTTCAGATAAACCTATGGAGATTCATCATTTTTTTTAGTATTTTGATTTATTTATACATTTTAAATAAATTAAATTATAAGTTAACAATTATATTATAATATAAACACTACTTAAAAATAATAAATAAAAAAAAATTATAAATAGAAAATTTAAGAGCTTAATTATATTTTTAATTAAATATATAATTTTTGTTTCTAATTTATTGTTATAATTTAAACTATTTAATTATTAAAATAATTAATTTCTAATTTTTATTATTTATTAAAATTAAAAACTTAAATTTAATTTTTGATATTATATATATAAGCTATAAAAAAAGGTAAAAAGAAAATGCAATGGAACAGGTAGGGGTGTAAGGACGGGACAGGAAGTGGCATCCTAACCCATTTATCAAATTAAAGAAAATGTAAATCCAAACTCGCACGGCTGAAAATAAGTTGATCGGGTCAAAATGGGATACTCAGGAATACGAGTCTAATTGCAATACCAAAATTTTGCTGGGAAACTCCCGAGCTGAAGAATAAAATTCAACACGCTATGCAGTATGCATGTATCCCATGAACATGAATCATGATGGTCGTAAAGTAGGATAGATTCAGGTGGAAAAAAAGGTGATAAATATAGTAGGTTATCTGATAAAGAGAGAAATGAAACAAAAAAGTACGTAGAATGTGTAAGTGAATAGAAAAGAGTGGACATGAAAAGTATTTTCTAATGCCATATGTATATTATCAGTATTCCACCAACCAAACTCAAGGAAAAAACAATGTCCTGCCTCAGCTCTGCTGTACTTGACGTAACAATTAAAATTTGTCATTTTCTTCTTCCAAGATTCGAAAATCAAGTCAACATATTCAATTTTACACTTCAATTTATTTTCTATGACAGTGAACACCAACTTCAAACGATTCTTATTTAAAAGTCTTTCTTATAAATATGTAATTTTTTTAAAAATTAACTGATAATAAAAACATGTTACATGAGTGTGCTACAATATGTTATTACATCATCGCTAAATATAATCCATATAATGTGATAATGTAATCATTATTTTATGTTACTAAAAGTATTTTTTTAAAAATTTCAACAATCATAAGTTAAGTATTTTGTTATATTAATTAAAATAATATTTTTTTAATGAAATTGTATTTTTTTATTATTAAATAGGTTTAATACATTATCTGATCAATGAATTTTTTAGAATTTTTTATATATAAACTTAAAAAATTATAATTGAGTTCATCATTTTATATTTTGTAATTTAGTCTCTAAGTTAGAAATTTGTTTACAATCTATAAAATTTCACAAAAATATTCTTGATACATATGAATGATGACAGTGAATAATAATATAATATAGTTGTCTAAATATACATATATTAAAAATCTATTTTTACATTTGTAAATAAATTTCTAAACAAAACTATAGGGACTAAATTATAAAAATAAAAAATAAAAAGATAAAGGATCTAACAACAATTTTTTAATTGAAAGATTTATTAAAATTTTAAAAATAAAATTAGAGATGAAATGATATGTTAAACCTATCACATATATAATTGATGATGAGTGACTGTTTGTTGAAAGAAAATATCCGTTGTAATATTATTTAATATAACTTTAACGGGTGAATATTAATATATTTATTGAATCCATTAAAATGCTAAAAGAAAGTAAACAAATTGATGGATATTGTGATGATATAAATTTGGTATGAAACTCCCGAGGGAACTTGGCCCTACCTTTCCCAATGGGATAGTCTACGAACTATAAAAGATATAATAGTCCAAGTCCAAATCCAAATCAAAGTACAGAGTATATAAAAGTAATCCACCAAACACCGTGGAGGCAAAAGCTTAAAGCAATGCACCCGGTCTCATTAGATAGAATAGCTGATGCAATGTGGGTGACGTAACAAAATGTACTAGTTACTTCTAGGAAATTTTTATTTTAGATAATTGTATATCTGTTTTTTTTAAAATTGAAGCACTAACCACTTTCTTTTTTTCCACACAACTACAAGCTAATAAATCATTCATCATTTGAGACTAGTTAATAAAAATAATTGACTGCAGTGAAATTATCATAACGCACAATGCCATGTTTGATCTCGTATTTTAACTTAGAACCAAAAGCCCAGCATCGCGGGTAACAATATAGGAAAAATCGTATTATAAACGGATACAGGAGCACAACTACCAGTTTAAAAGGATAAAATGTATTTACCAGCACACATTTTTTCTTCTGGCTGAATGGCACAGTAAAAACTATCATATTGAAGCGAATTCAGGACTAAAGAGTGTCAAGTACTAACACAAGATCAGGCGTCCCGCGTGTCAGCGCACACTAACGACAACAAAAAGTATATCCAAAATGTGATAACAGCTGCTTTAATTAATGTAACTGACTAAAACATAGAATGACGAAATCTCTTGAACACATTTCCATACGTTGCTGCTTCACAGAATAGATGGATAAGTCATAGAAAACATAGGTCCACTATAGCCAACAAAAAGAACAAGAGGGGTATAAATATGCTATACTTCAGTCTATTGGTATGAGACAACCAGGAACTGAAGAAGGATCAAGCTCCCAACACCCTCTGAGATGAACATTGTCTTCCCCACTGTGCTGAAATGCAGGAATCTGATGTGAAAATCTGCCAACCTCTTCTCTTAATATTTCAATTACACCAGTTTTAGATCTCTGAATTCTAGGAGCCTTGAAAATTGTCTGAGAGTTGCTATACGGCATCAGAACAACAACTTGTATACTTTTGTCACTATCTGCTAATACTTCTACTATATGACATTCATCTCTGCCCTGATTTGAAGTCAGTTCACACTTCTGGTCCTTGTGTAGAGCCCAAATCTCACCTTTTCTAGGGTAAATTTCATATCTACTATTTACCAAGGGTTCGACTTTTAATTGATGAGAGAATGCAGAGATAGAAAGAATCTGCAATTTTGCTTTAACTTTAAAAGAACCACAAGATATTGTTCTTTTTAAGTCATTTGATGGTGAGCAGGGTTCAAGCACAGACACCTGCAATCTAAAATTAGGAGTGAATTCAATCTTCTTAATTTGTGCATATGTATTTGGCATATTATCCCTGTCACCATATATTGCCCATATCTGACCACACTGAAACATCTCTTCAGATTTTTCCTTCTTAAAGTCATAACTCGAAGCTCCCACCGACTGAGGAAAACTCCTGTCCTTCACATTTTTGCTGTTATTTGAATGATTATCAGTCATCTTGCCTGTCGTCCATTCACCTGCATCTCCTTTAACATTTTTCTTGCTTAAATCTCTAGGTGACTTTCGAGCTTTCAATGTCTCTTCTACACAATTATTTTTCTCATGTTTCTGAGGTATCTCGACTTTCTTCTCATTGGTCTGAGATACGACAGTGTCTCCCTCTGAGGTGTCCCTGTGGCTAGTGCTTGCTTGACCATTGTTCATACCTTTTTGGCTTGACCTTGGTGATCTTCTGAGGATTTGTGAGATTCTTTCATCATCATTACTTTCTCGCAACTTTGCTTTGTGAATACTATCACTAGACGTTGGCTGTTCAACTTTACACTTCAAGTATTCATTGTTCGAACAATTGACTCCATCTATCTTCACAACACCAGGATCACCAACTTCAAAAAGACTATTAGGCAGACCAGCAGGATCGAGTTCAAAAGATCCTTTTGGAACATCTTCCCTTTCAGCACCTGTCATCTTATATGAAGGAACTCGATGTGAGAACCTATATAGCTCATTAGGCGGAATACAAAATAAGCTAATTCCATTCAGCACAGTTCGCTGAAAGAGACTGACAAACCCTTTCAGTTTGCCAAGATAAGCAACTTCAATGCCAACATTTTCAGCAAAATCAGATAGAACTTCCACATATTCAAATTGATACTCTGAATGCTTTTCTGGATTAGAACTCCATCCAATATCCCAATGTCTGAAAACTGCCCAAGTTTCTCCCTTTTTTGGATATACAAGATAAGTACCAGCGTCACTTCCTTTTATGCTATGCATCAGATGAGAGAACATAAAACGATCTGTAGTTCTCTGAGAATGACCAAGTTTAAACTTACCACAAGCAACAGGCAAACCTGCTTCATGCCAGTCAATCTCACCTTGGTCATCTGAGTCAGGTTCCAGCCAAGTAATCTGCAATTTGAAAGGGGAGTACACTTTCTTGACAAAAGCATAGAATCTTGGCATACTATCGTCATTATCAAAAATAGCCCACAATTGATTAACAGCAAAACAATCCTCTGCCTTATCTCTCTCAAAATCACTGAAATCTGGATCAGGACAGCAAATTTCTGAACTGGGAGATAAATTTGACTTCAGTGGAGAACAATTGTCAGTTTTTGACTTTCTATCGTTAAGATCTGAATTGGATGCCTCCTTTCTATCATTCTGACCACCCACACCAGCAGTAAAAGAGGCTGGATTATTGTTACCAAACAACCCACCAGTTGTGGGCACTTCTCTTTTCTTCATTTCCGTGGAGGTAAAGGATTCATGATGTCTTGGCCTTTTGGGAGAAATCCCAACATCACCATCTTTATCAGCTTCTGTGTACGAAACATGCTGTTTTTTCCTAGAAGATCTCCTATGAGAATCAACCCTATTTTCTTGAACCTTGGTATCTTTCATGCCTTTACCATTTCCAGTTTTGTTATAATCATCTGATGCTGCTGACTGCCTTGCTCTCTTACATCCAATTTTTGTTGAGGTTTGTGATTCCTTGGCTTTGGAATTAGTGGGGTTGGATGTTCCAACACCAGCCTTTGCCACTCCTGCAGCCACATGGGCATCTCTGCTCTTTGCAAATTTAGAACTGGCACCAACTCCAGCAGTACATTTTGACATGGATACACCCTCCTGTTTCCTACTACAAGATTTGCCACCATTTCTTTTTGATGCTTCTTTTGATGGTGCATGTTTTGGAGGCTCTTTCTGGTTATTAGGTGACCCATATCCTGGTGGCACATTGTGGTTCCCCATATCATGAGCTGTAAAGGATTTAGAACATTGTTGTTGTTGACAGCGTATGGTCTGATTTAAAATGAATTTGTAGTATTGATATCTAGTATTACAATATGGGCAACATGTCCAGAATGTCTGACTTTCAACCCGATGATATGCATTCCAAGCATTGTTTTGTGAATAAAAATTGTTATGATGATTTCTTGTAGTTCCATCATATTTTGCCCCAAAAGAATTCCCATTTGGATTACGAGGTGGAACCTTAGGAGCTGTATTTCCCAAAGAAACTCCAAGCTTTGAGTCATACAAAGTACGCTTCGTTCTGTCGCTCAATACTCTGTTAGCTTCACCAATCAACTTGAAAGCAGCCTCTGCACCAGCAGATTTATTTTTATCAGGATGAAGTAGCAGTGCAAGCTTTCTATACTGTTTCTTTATTGTTGCTTCATCAACTATCCGATCTGTCTGAAGAATTCCATACCAGTCCATGTCAGACCCAGAGTGTTTTTTCTGTGCAGCACAGTGAACCTCACAAACTGTAATGATCTGAACAATGTTCTGAATATCAGGAAACAGCCTCTGGGCTTTCGTAGCAAATTTCAGCGCCCCTTCAAAGTCACCAGCTTGCATCTTATTTTCAGCAATCTGCTTAGCCCTCATAGCTTCATCCTTGTTGCACTCCATCAGTGAGTTGAAAATCAAAACGCAATCACAGAAATTCTCTTAATCTCACAGGCAACACATACACAGGGAAACAACTTCTGCATAGTCACAAATCCACCAACCAGATGCGGTGCAACATCTTCACCTGATCAACACAAGCCAAACCCCCATGAACCATTTAACAAGAATTTCATATCAGTTGCACAAGTAAATACAGATCCTGATTGAATAAACTTCTTCATAAGCACTTATAAGAAAAGCAAATACAAAGATAAAATCAATTGACCTTAAACCAAAAGCTAAAGCCAACTTATACACTTTAACTTCAACAAAATTAGGAAAAATTATATGAAAAAGCTTCTATAAAACTGTAAGCATAAGTTAATTTTAGCATAACAAGCTTATAGAAGTAGATCAATTCATTTTACCTTCTTATTTTCTTTTTCTATAAATGCTAATGAAGAACAGAGTCTTAGACATGCTCCATATGTGTAGGTACTCTCTATCTCAGAGAATCAGAAAAAGTTGACCACCATTGGCCATTCGTTTTTTAACATTTTATGGCAGCATCTGCCATATCTGTTATGGTGCCTGCCATGGCCATGGCACCGTCATGGCTTATGCCAGTCATGGTGGATTTTTTTCTTTTTTGGTTTTTAAAAAGCCCATTTAAGGGTTTCTTCAGATAAATATCACTTCCACTTTTCTCTCAGTCTCTTGACCCTCATTAACGTTCACAAAGGAACCTAGGGTTTCTCTTCTTTCTGTGTTTAACCTCCATAGTTGTGGCCAATCAAGTCCGATGAAGCCTCTCCAGTCACCCTCCGACCAATGGCCCAAACTCTGGCAAACAATGCCAACAAGATAGAACAGTTCTTTTGTTTTGCATTTTTTTATTCCTTCTATTTTTTTCTATCTGTTCTACATTCTTCATATGTTCCTCACCTTTTTTTTCTCTGTTTTTTTGTTTTGTCTCATATCCTCTGTGTGACACTGACTGCTATAGTTCTTCATCTTTTTCAATGTTTAGCTCTCTGTTTTCATAATTTCAAAATGGTGTTCGCTGTCCTTTTGTTCTCTGTTTCTTTATTAAAACATATAATGCTATTCACAATTCTTTTTCCACTCATAAGACAATGTCAAGCACACAACCAAAAGTCATGCTTCCTTAGACACAGGACGGAAACATTTAAATGATTATGTTTAGGATCTTACATGATGAGATTATCAAACTCTAATGAATAATGACATAGGCCACCACGCCATAAGTTTATGGCAGATTTTCGGCTCACTGCCATAATATTGATAACCTTGAATACTAACAACAATCCAGGAAGCGTTAAATTTCCATTTCAACTCTAATACTACCAATCCCACAAAAAGAAAACAATTATTTATAAACAGATAAACAGATCAGATGCAATAAAATGCGGACAGTGAAACAAACACACAATAATAATAATTTAATGTCAAGACAAGACTAAACACGAAAGAGGAAACAAGCTGAGAAACAGCAAAACCTAAACCCTAAGATTCGACATTAGAGAGAAGTGATCTAAACATGAGATAAAGCAGCATAGTGAGGAGTTTCGTTTAAACTGAAATTTATAAAACCCTAAGAAGCAACGAGATCGAGAAAAGAGTAATGGAACTTACTTGCACCGCCACCACGAACTAAGAAGAGTGAAAGTGTTAACGGTACGGTGTGGCTCTCAGCTATAGAGAGTGAGAAAGAGATGAAAGCGGGAAGTGAAAAAATTGAGAGAGTGAAGAGGGAAATTTTGATGGGACTGAAAGGACAAGTGAGGGCTTGATTGAAGGAAGGAAGAAGCCCTTGCAATTTGCTCAAATTATTCTTTCTTCAAATAAACTTCAAGATAACATATTTGGATTGCTCTTTGTGTATAAAAATATATATATTTTAATGGTATAAAAAAAGTAATTAAAAATTATTATAGATTTTTTATTTTTATAATAAATATTAACTAAAATTATATTAACGGTGATTTATAATTAATGAATAATATGCAATATTTAATGTATAAAAATTAATATTAAATTTAAATTTTGTCGGTTAAAAGAAAAAATTTCTCTCCTTATGAGAGTAGTTAGATTCTTTCTTCTCACGAGAAATTTGTTATTTTCACATGGATGGTAAAGATAAAAAACATACATAACAATCGAACATTTTTTCTGGTAGAAAATGATGATAAAAGACTAACATTCAATTTCGAATAAGATGAGGACACAATAAAAGATTTATCATTTTGTCCATTGGATCAATTTCTTATTGAATGGCAAATATGTATACATGTTATAAAAGAAAGAAAGGGTTCAATGATAAGAATATGAAGACTTGTAAGAAAAGTGATGATTATACAAATATGCAGAACAATAGTTTTATGAATTGATTATCAATGTTTGTATACATATCTTATATAATAATAAAAAAAAATTATTTTTAACAACCATATCAAAAAGTACTGGAATATAAATTAATATTACAATAAGAGATAAAATTTGGTTAACAAATTAACTAATTAATAAGATTTGATTAACTGGTTGACTAATCACGCTAACAATGTTCACATAAACATCCAAGAAATACTTATATTCAAATTTTATAATAAATTAAACAGAAAAAATTTTCACAAATCAACCTTGATTTTTTGACAACCACCTATTAATACTTAGGGATGTCTTTTGACAACCACCTAGCCAATTACCCTTATGTGCCTTTCTAGGTACAAATTCATGACTTTTCTATGGGCTTTGTGACTTTAATGGTGGACAAACACTTGGGGAATTTCTTAAATACAATGCCAACAATAATTCTAGCTGTTGGCAAACTTGTATGAGGATCAAAGTAAAAGTGAATATTCGTAAAACATTATAGAAGGGTAAGATGGTTCGGAAACTAGGTGGATAATGGCATATGGTCATTTCAAACAAGAACACCTAAGAGCCTTCTATTTTGTTTGTGGCTTGATTGGCCATAATGAAAATCTTTATGACTGTTTATTTGCTAAAGATGCAGATGATGGTTTATAGGAACAAAGTGCATACCATAAAGTAGATTAAAGAAGAATAAAAAGATCAAAAGGATTAAAGGGAGGGAGATGACTTAGAAATGAATGGGAAGATGATCGAACTCCATTGAGGTGTAGGTGGATAATCTAGTAGCAGAAATAGCAACAATCAATGAGATATTAATGGCTAAATAATGATTATTGTAAAATTATTGAAGGAATTAATACAAGAGTGGAGAATGAAAAATAAATAACGAAAAATTTTAGCAAAAATTATAATAACTCATTCAAATATTGCAATTGATGTCACCATGTACCCCCATGACAAAAAGTTAAAATGAGGACATTGATAGCCTATGTGAGAGAAAAAAAAGTGAGAGATTAACTTAGAGAACATAACAACACAGTCACAATCTTATTGAGCCTTGTTATGGCTTCACATATTTAATGAGATCCCAATCCAACATTTTTCAACGGTAAGCTTAGATTCTTGGCCTACTAGAAGCAATGAAAATGTTAAGTTTGAAGGCTTACGATATATACATCTTTTTTTTTATATATATAAGTATATCTCCTTTTTTAAAAAAATTAATTTATAAAATATTATTAAATTTTTTAATTTTACACCTCCAATATTTTATTTAATATTTTTTCTCCTTAAATAAGTGTAAAATTGGGAGAAAACAAGATGATGCACATGAAAATTAAAAGGAAGAAGGAATGAGATGTGTGGAACAAGAGAAAAAAAAGAGTGAGAGAGTGAGTAATAAATTGAAAATTGAATGTGTAAAATAAATAAATAAGGATATTTTTAAATTTAAATGAAGGAGGTGTATTTATATATATATAAAATGTATATATCATGAGCTAAGTTTGAAATGTCAATGCTCAGATAATTTGGGAGCAGTTCCTATCTTGAAGGACCTTAGTATGGTCTAATAAACCATATAAAGAATGTGGTGGTTAAAAAATTGGATTTGAACGTGTTTTTGTTGTTGATAGAGATGAGAGAAGTGGTGATTTAGTTGTGATTTAGAAAGATTGTGTTCATTGCAAAATTATTATTTTTGTATAATTTTGTCGGTGTTTTAGTTATAATTGTCAAAACGGGTCGACTTGATCCATTTGACCCGGCCCACCTCAATCAACTTTTTTAAGTGGGTTGACCCGACTCGATCTACCAACCTCAATATCAAAAAAAAATTAATCTGGCTTGACTCATCACGGGTTGGTGGGCTAAATGGGTTGGCCCACCAACCCACCTATTTTTTTTAAAAATTAAATTTAAAATAATCTCCAATATAAAATAATTTATAATTTAAAGTAAGAATTGTCAAATTAAGTATCATGCATACAACATTAAACTTAAATAAAAAAGTGTACAACTTTAAATAATCAAAGCAAAAAAAATAAAAATCCTCTCATGAGAGTGATTATTCATCAATATTAAACTTTATTGGAAACTTGAGTAGATAAATTCATAGTAATTTCATGTTGTTTAACACCAACTTTATATTTATTTACAAAAAAAATGGTATCTTGTTAAAATAATATATATATAATAATAAATGAGTTAAGTGGATTGTTAGTGAGTTGGTTTATGGGAGTGTAAGTGAGTTAAGTGGGCAGTTTGGCCCAACACGGGTCCAACCCGAGTGAGGCGGGTCGAAAGTGGATCAAGTTACATTTTTTGACCTATTATGAGAATTTTCATTTTTTGGGCCTACCTTTGTCTGTTTTCAAGGTGGGTCGGGTTGGTCCACAGGTTGAAACCCATTTTAACAACTTTAGTTCTAATGGAAGATCCAATTAAAGGGAATTAGATGTTAACAGGTTATTAAGGTTAACCTAAAAGAAGTAGGAAGAGAAAAGGTTGAGATTTTCTTAGATCATTGGCATGACAAATCACCTTGATTCATCATTGGGGACTTCACCTCCAATATTTTATTTAATATTTTTTCTCCTTAAATAAGTGTAAAATTGGGAGAAAACAAGATGATGCACATGAAAATTAAAAGGAAGAAGGAATGAGATGTGTGGAACAAGAGAAAAAAAAGAGTGAGAGAGTGAGTAATAAATTGAAAATTGAATGTGTAAAATAAATAAATAAGGATATTTTTAAATTTAAATGAAGGAGGTGTATTTATATATATATAAAATGTATATATCATGAGCTAAGTTTGAAATGTCAATGCTCAGATAATTTGGGAGCAGTTCCTATCTTGAAGGACCTTAGTATGGTCTAATAAACCATATAAAGAATGTGGTGGTTAAAAAATTGGATTTGAACGTGTTTTTGTTGTTGATAGAGATGAGAGAAGTGGTGATTTAGTTGTGATTTAGAAAGATTGTGTTCATTGCAAAATTATTATTTTTGTATAATTTTGTCGGTGTTTTAGTTATAATTGTCAAAACGGGTCGACTTGATCCATTTGACCCGGCCCACCTCAATCAACTTTTTTAAGTGGGTTGACCCGACTCGATCTACCAACCTCAATATCAAAAAAAAATTAATCTGGCTTGACTCATCACGGGTTGGTGGGCTAAATGGGTTGGCCCACCAACCCACCTATTTTTTTTAAAAATTAAATTTAAAATAATCTCCAATATAAAATAATTTATAATTTAAAGTAAGAATTGTCAAATTAAGTATCATGCATACAACATTAAACTTAAATAAAAAAGTGTACAACTTTAAATAATCAAAGCAAAAAAAATAAAAATCCTCTCATGAGAGTGATTATTCATCAATATTAAACTTTATTGGAAACTTGAGTAGATAAATTCATAGTAATTTCATGTTGTTTAACACCAACTTTATATTTATTTACAAAAAAAATGGTATCTTGTTAAAATAATATATATATAATAATAAATGAGTTAAGTGGATTGTTAGTGAGTTGGTTTATGGGAGTGTAAGTGAGTTAAGTGGGCAGTTTGGCCCAACACGGGTCCAACCCGAGTGAGGCGGGTCGAAAGTGGATCAAGTTACATTTTTTGACCTATTATGAGAATTTTCATTTTTTGGGCCTACCTTTGTCTGTTTTCAAGGTGGGTCGGGTTGGTCCACAGGTTGAAACCCATTTTAACAACTTTAGTTCTAATGGAAGATCCAATTAAAGGGAATTAGATGTTAACAGGTTATTAAGGTTAACCTAAAAGAAGTAGGAAGAGAAAAGGTTGAGATTTTCTTAGATCATTGGCATGACAAATCACCTTGATTCATCATTGGGGACTTCAATGATATTCTGACCATTGATGATAAATGTGGTAGAATGGACCATCTACCTTAGCTTCTAAATGGTTTTCATGAAGTTGTTTGCGATTGTGACCTTCACAACATCAATCTTGATGGTTGTCCTTTCACTTGGGCTAGAAGTATAGGCACCCGAGGGTTGTTGAAGAGACCTTCCTAATGTGGTTATGTCGGGAAGCTCACCACGAATATGACATTGTTGCAAAATTGACAACATGTTTAAAGGATCTTTATTTAAGGTTTAGATGAAATTTTTGTTACAAAATTTAATTCCATCATGGAGTACCTTACAATGTTACTAGTATAGGAAAAGAAATATTGGAGGCAACAATCAAAGGTTTATTGGCTCAAGGATAGTGACATGAACACAAAATTTTCATTCTACTGCATCAACAAGGAATGAGAAGAATGACATTGAAAAACAATGAAGAATTATTGGTTGAAAATCAATATGAAATTCACAATGTTGTGACGAATTATTTCAAGATGGTGTATATGAGCCAATCATTCATCTTGTTCAACCTTGTCTATCATATGCCTTCATGACTCCTTTTTTTGAAATAAAACTCAAAGATATCTTATTCAACATGTATCATGATAAAACCCCAAAACTAGATGGTTTAAGTCTTACATTATTTTTCAACACTTTTGAGATATTTGTGGCAATGATATATCTAATGAATGTTTTCATTGGTTAGAAATTGGAGAATTATTTCATTCATTGAAAAATACTAACATTTCTCTTATTTCCAAATGTGCTAATCTTACTTTGATGAACAATATTTGATTGCTCTTGTAATATTTTCTGTAAAATTTGGGCCAAAGCTCTTACTAATATACTTCATGTTATCTTGTTTAAATGCATTCGAGTAAGCATAAATTTAGTCTCTTAATTTGAAAATTTTTAAATGTTTTTTAGTTGAAATACTAATTAAGAGATAATACTTAGTCCTTAATATGCTTAGGGTCCATGAATGCTTGACACAAATAAATACTTAGGTTTCCCTTCAATGTTTGGGAGAAGTAAGAGATTCACTTTTAACCACATCAAAGACAAAGTTTGGAGAAAAATCAATGTTTAGAGGGGGTAAAAACTTATCTTTTAGAAGATTTATCGAACTTAACTTCCCATACATCTACTCCAGTCACTAGAATAACTTGTATACATCAAGATTTATGTTATTGTAATTTTAAGCTTCTTGCTTAAGCAAACTCAACCATTTTTAACCATTAGTATAATTTATTATTAACACAAAATTTTAAATGCTTTTGATTTGTATAAAAAAAGTATTCATTCTATCAAATATAATGACTATATTTTAATCAAACTTAATATTTGATAAAAAAATTCAGTCTTTATTATTTTATTAATTATATATTTGATAATTATCTTCAATCACTAAAAAATGACTTTCTCACTTAATATCACATACAGATACACATGTATACATGTGTGTGCATACATATATAATATTTTTATTTTTTATATTTTTTATTTATCATGAAACATTGTGTTTCCTTTTTTATAATTTTTTTTTATTTTTATTTATCTTCTAATGTTATTCATGCAAATTGTGCATGTAGCACACATATTCATTACCTATGAAGTATATATTATCTTTCCTTTTAACACTATTCATGCAAATTGTATATAAGGGTGTTACCAATATTATTTCTTACATAATAAAAACATAAATTATATAACTTAAAACAAATGTATACAATTTTTTTTTATCTTTGAATGTTATTCATGCAGATTGTGCACATAAAATACATATTTATTATTCATTAAATATATATTATCTTTCCTTTTAATATTATCCATGCAGATTGTATAAAGGATCTTAACAACACTATTTCTTTATATAATAAAAATATAATTTTTATAACTTAAAAAAATTGTATACAATGTTTATTTTATATACACAATTGTTTTTACCTTCTAATGTTATTCATGCAAATAATGCTTATAGCACATACATTTATTATCTATTAAGTGTAAATTATCTTTCTTTTTAATACTATTCATACAAATTGAATACAAGGTTTCTAACAACACTATTTTTTTTTATATATCCGACACTTGATAATTATTATATAATTTAAATTATAATTAAAAAGATAATAAAAATAATATATATATATATATAAAAGAAACAAATTAAGATAATAATTCTTCAAAAATCTAAATATGTTAATAATTATTAAATTTAAAAGATTAAATTCATAATAAATCAATAAAAAGATCCACAAAGATTAACATCATATTTGATTGAAAAGGAATGGAGGAGAGGGGAGGAAGAATATGATTTTTTTTTTATAAATTTGTATTGTTCGATTTAATTTTTAAAAAAAGAAAAAATATTTAATTAAGTACCATATAAAGATTTAACCACGCACATTGTTCAATAATTAAATATTTTATTAATGTGCGTGTTATGTTTTTTATTTAATAATAATATACAATGAGATATGTATTTTAATTTATTTAACATTATTTATTTTTTTAGTTTTTTCGTGAAAAACTAAAAATAACTATAAAAAGTAAAAATGAAATATAATTTTGAAGTATAATAAAATCTTTAAAATGTATTTAAAAAATATTTATATTATCAGTACACATACTGTTTTAATTATTTATTTTTAGGTTAAATTGATTTGTAAATTCTTATAGATATTTCAAAAAGAAATTAAAATTTAAATATGTTCTTACTTCCTTTAAAATGAACATCCTTTAATTTTAGTCTCTGTGAAAAAAATAATTAATTTTTCATCTCTTTAAAATTACAAATCATTATTTTTTATAATTGTGAGTGTCATCTAACATGATTACTTAATTTTCTATTAATATGTAGACAATTAACAAAGATCACATCATAGAAAAGGCTAAAATCAATAATTCAAATTTTATAAGAATGAAAAAAATTTATAAAAACTAAAATAAAAAATACTTATTTTGCAGGACCAAAATGCTAAAGTGATTTCCATCAAATGTCCAACTAGTTTTTGAAGTCTTAACTTATTCTTATTGGTCTGATATAAAAATCATGAAGGGAGTGTAACTTCTTCTAATATTATTTATTTGTATATAGAATTACATTAAAAAGACACTCAATTTCTTTGTAGACTTTTTAAAAAGAATTATAATAGTAAGTAGTTAATTGAAAGTATAAGCAATTATGTAGAGTACAATCTACATAAAAGAATAAAAATTGTGATTTATAAAAGAGTAATTACACGAGCAAAATAAGACAAAAATTATGTATACTAAAAAGTTAAATTTTCTTTATTATAGTTATGGATTATAAATACTATGATTTAATTTTGAGTATATACAAACACCTTCAAAAGAAGATAATCCTCTTAAACTATTTAATTCAATTACATATACAAAATTAGAATTCGAGATCATAAGTTAAATTGTAACAACTCCAAATATTATGAATTAAAATTTCATCAACATTTTTAAAAGACATGAATATTTATCAAAGAAAAATACTACTAATATATACTCTCTATTTTACTCTTTTTATAATAGTTTCATTATCATTAATTGATGTTTACTTAAAATCACAAATTTTGTAAATTTTATATTTTATTTAATAAATGTCTGGTGATTTAATAATAAAACCTACAAAAATATTATTGATTGTAGTTAGCATTTTTTACTTATCAAATGTTGTATCTTATCATCACGATATGAATTTTTTTTTTAATGAAAGAGTAAAAATAGGAATTTTTTTTTTACGGGATCATTAACGTAAATTTTTATTGTTGTATCAAACAACAATGGAAAAAAAGTACATAGAGCATGAATAATCACACATCTTCGTTAAACAGGCGACAAATATTGTATCATATGATGCGAGTGGCAAAGAACTATGCATGTTTCTCCATCAGTTGTCGAAACAAATCTTCAGGTGCTGGAATTGAAGATACAAATAAAGTCAGATCACATATTTTTAGCAAAAATTCTCAATAATATAAATTAGACTTCTTACATACATAAGTCAGATAAAATAAGTTAAGAAAGTAAATAAATAAAACTGTGTTGGATGTTGAGTTTGATTAATTTTACCAGGTAAGGCAGTAAAATTTTTGTACTGCTCAAAGCCTTGGCGAATCAACATCTCTGTGCCGTACACGATTGCAGCTCCAGTTTCTTTTGCATCACGTAAAAGCTTGGTGTCTTTTGGCGTATATATGGCATCAAACACCAAGCAGTAGTGCACTAAAGCGTGCTGCACTTAAAAGCATCCTATTAAGTACTCAGAATATGGATGGTGTGAAAGTGCTCAATGCAAAATTTTGTACGTGTGAAAATACATGCATTTGCTTGAAGAGTATAAATTATAGGAAAATTATACTTTGTATATCAATTTGCATAACATTATTTTTTCTTTTGTGTCTGTGTCGATGGGGAAAGCCTAATATAATAATAATAATTCAATAAAAAATAATAATGTAACATAAATTAAATCCTTTACTTTTTATTCAAAGTAAACCAAAAACAATTATTTATAAATGAAAAGTCTAAAAAATAAAATTGTTATTGCGCTACATTTTTCTCTTATTTCATATCTCTCTTCGACGATTCAATGGTTGAAAATAAGAAAACAAATCCTAAGAATTTTCTTTCTAAAAATCAATTTGCCTCAATAATGAACAAATATCAAGTTGCAAGTAAAAAAATGCTACCTAGTAGATATGTGAACTCAACAGTAAAATTTTCTATCTTCTCTTCTCTATATAATTTGATGTCGTTTCCTTTTAAAATGAGTTACTGTATCTATCTGACCTGACTCCTTCCTACTTAGTTAAGTGAAATATAATAGACTTACACATTTAATCTTATTTTTCACATAAGAAGGGAGCTCAAAACCAAACATATCTCTCTTATAAGGGAACATGACTCACATGGGAGAAAGTAAAAAAAAAAAAAAAACCTAGAAAGTGGTTTACTCAAGTGAAAAAATAAATTTACATGAGTACATAGGAAGCTTTATATAATCAATCCGAACAATACTAATATCCTATATCTATAATACTCTTCATCACAATATTCATTACAATTATTAATAATTAAGACCAATAGATACAAAAATAATATTGTATGAATGATTGTACTATATTAATTCTCTAATTTATACTGTATTTCAAGAATAGTCTTGAAAAAATTTAGAATTATAATTCTTATAATTTGATTACAAAAATGTAAGTTGCTCTTCATTTATATATATTATTTTTATTATATTACTAACTAACTCTCATATATATATATATATATTATATATATTATTTTGACTATATTATTAGTCAATTTGGAGTCCCCCACACCCTCTTTCATGAAAAAAATTATTAAGCAGTCTAAAACTATCAAGTATTCGTGATGTCGACGAATCTCTCCATAACATGTATATTTAAGTCTTTGAATTTATAATAAAAAGTTAATAGCGTTTGATTACATGTCATAGAAAGATTCATTAGGAATCACGTGATTTAAGACTACTTGATACTTTCTCCCTTCATGAGCTGAACATATACAAGAGGTCCTAGATTATTAAGCTTTGAATCCTTATATAATTTTAAAATTTGGGTTTGAGGTAACTTCTAACTCATACGATAAGAGTTGCCTTACCTTTCCCCCATATCACTTGTTATATCTCCAATAAAAATCGCTTGATAATTTTCTATTTTGAATGCCCTCAAATAATTAGCCAAATAACCATAGTGTTGGTGTCAGAGAGATTAGCATAGAGTAGCAAACCTTCGGTATGGGGGTCTGATCAATGTTAGGCTTCATTCCCACAGATGTCGTATTTGCAAGCACCATCCCTTCTTCTGGGTGGAAACTTTCAACTTCACTCAGAGTCATAGCTTTTCCGCCAACTTTCTCAGCCAATTCTTTAGCACGTTCTGTAGTTAAGTATTGATGGTTTGAGTTACCACAAGTATATCCATGTCCCTCTCACTTTTGGCAACAAAATGAATAGGGTGGTGCTGGTGAAGTCATATATTACTTGAATGAATCTAAATATTCATCGACTTGAGAAGGATTCGACTTAATGCATCTACTGGTTTCATAATGTAGAGATAAATGACAATGTCTTACCAAAGGTGCGGTTGGCAACTACAACTCTTGCCCCTTTCTGTGCAGCACCATAAGCAAGTGATTTTCCAGCTCCACCAGCTCCTAGTACAACAAACATCTTGCCAGACAAAGGGGATCCAACAACTGGCACTGCACCATCCAAACCTGTAAAAGAGAAACAAATCATATAACTGAGTTGAGAAATTTTTTTAACTTGTTTTGCTCTAGTTTAGAAAGTCAACAACTAAGGACCTCTTAATCCATCCTCAATGGCAGTGATAGCCCCAATGTAATCAGTATTAAAAGCTATTAACTTCCCATCAGGTCTCCTCACAATGTTATTGATAGCTCCTATTTTCTGAAAGAATTAAAAGAATCATTTGCAAGATACGGTAACATCTTATATACCATTAACCATCATTTGATATAGTTTAAGAGGATAATGATCAGTACCTTGGCAATTGGGTCAACCTCATCCATGCATTTAAGTGCAACCTCCTTGTGAGGAATTGTGCAACTGCATTTTACAATGAAATTGTATTAGTATTACTATACTTCCTCAGTGACCGTGTAAAAACAAATGAAATCTGTTGGATTAAATTTTATTTGGCAATTATTTTCTAGAAGACTGGAGTGAGAATAAAGATAAAAAATGTGTAGCATCAAAGCAAAGAGATAGAGAACCTGCATCCAGAGGCAAAGTCAGGGGATGAATAGGTATTGAAAAACTTCTCCACATCATCCACCAAAAAGTGCATATAAACAGAATTCAGCCCAACTGACTTAAAGGCTGCATTGAACAAAAGAGGACTCTTGCTATGACCCACTGGCTTTCCAATAATTCCATACACTTTAGTATCAGCTTTTATAAGCCTAAAATTGTAAAGTTCTAGCATATTTTTCACTGTTATTTGCCCAGGAGCAGAAATAGCATCCTCCTCCAGTGCACCATAGGTGAGATAACCACCAAATTTGGGGCTAAGTAACCTCGAAATTAAGCCCCTCTCACCCATTACAATTCCTATTGTTGGAATCTGCAACATGTGATGTGAAGTTTAGGATTTAGGATATATATACATATTCATTAGAAACAAAATGTACGTTCAAGAAAGAGAAATACTAATAATACAATATATAACACTCTTTTTAACACATTTTCTATCTTCGGTTAAATTTATTGAAAATTATAAATTTTGATATGTCTTCTTACTTAATGAGTCTTTTAATTTTTTTTTTTTAATTTTAATAAATTTTAACCAATAATAAAATATGTATTAGAAAGAGTACAATATAGAGTGTACAATACAATGCAACAAGGAAAATAGAACTGGTTTAGTCTGCAAATCACATGAAATGTATTTATGATCAACTTACTTGAGAATGTACCATGATTTGGAAAATGTGTGCACAATCTGTAATGTCCGATGCAGTGGTTACTATCTTCGCAATGTCGCATCCAGTAGCTTGTATCCTTGCTACCAGATTGCCAATGGCCTCCGCTGATGGAGTATTGTGAAAGTTATGTGAAGAAACTATTACCTTGAAATTATGAGGCTTCTTTTCACATATGGAACGATTGAAGTCATCAGCAACCTGCAAACAAGGGGAGAGTCACATTTTATTGTAATAAACAAACTTGTAAGTTTAAAACTACTAATTTACCACATGGATAGCTGATCCATATGCTGAAATGACTGTGTAATAAAATTTTTGAACTTTGATAAATTAACTTCATTCAGGTTTTTCACTAACGTTGGGAAATTAACCTTATTGAATAATAAACAGCTACCTGAAGCTCAACATCAATATAATCAGCTCCCAATTCCATTGCTAGGCGAAGAACATCCTGTCTCTTGGTTTCATCTCCTTCATATTTACCACCTTCCCATGTTGGTCTGAATAAAAAAACAGCATATACTTGTAGATTTATTGTAACTAAAATATATCTTTTTCTCCATTAACAAAAAAGATTACACTGATGACAATGACAAAAGTCCTCGTACCCACATCCTTACTACTAACTTTAGTAGTTATTGTAAGTAAAAGGTTACTGTTGTACAGAAGTACTACTTTCCAAATAATTTTACTAACCATTATTCTAAATACTTTTAGTAAGAAAGTAAAACTAAAAATATTAAAAAAAATAAAGTATTTATTATGTTGGGAATATAAAAAGTTACTTAAAACATTTTCAATGTAGTAATGGTTAGCAAAACCTTGTTTTCTCCTTTCCAAAAAAATGAGGTATGTATGAACTGAGTATGTGTAATGTTTTTGATTTATAAGTACTAATTGAAACAAGAGTAAAACCTGTAAGTGACAATGGTGGGTAAAGGACTCTGGCTTATAAGAGTTTGAAGATGAGGTGTAGGGTTGAAGGTTCTCAAATAATCAAGGCGTATCTCAACCATATCTGCACCTATTTCATTGGCCCTTCGCATCTGAATCAGCATCTGAGCCACAGTGGTTCCAAGAATCGGAGTGCAAACAAGTGTAGGACAGTTTCCAACTGAGTTCAAACTCTCCAACTAATTCACATTCACATGCAAGTGCTATTCAACATTATATTATGCATATAAACTAGGACACAATAGCGAAACATTCATAATGATAGAATAGAATTAAAAGAGAAGAGAGTACCGGAAGGCCTTCCATGTGTCCTATGTGGTTCTCTTGGAACTTATCTACCTTCTCCAGTTATGACTTCATATATAGCAGTTTACGAAACAAAGCCAAGAATAGCGGTTGAACCAGAAATTAATTGAACTACAAGTGCTTACTTCCTTCTTTGGTGGTAGGTTGCCTTTTATCATTGCATTAATAATTTACATGATCAGGAAAGTATTAATTTGTGCTGTCATAACTACTCCAACCCAAAATCAGAAAGCCAATTGGTTCAAAAAAATAAAGAGATTAATTTTAATGGATTCCCAATATATATATATATATATATATATAATCTCAATCAATTAAAAATTGTTTCCTCTCTGTGCATATATTTAAATTTTACAAAAGAAATATTAAACCGATTAAGATCAGCAGCTTTTGAGATTAAAGATTAATGATCCAACTGAGGCCAAACAAATTAGCATTCTTAATTTCTTATCAAGCCTAGATATTAGATAATATGACTTTTTTTTCTCGTAATAATTAATTTTTATTGAGATGAATCCTTTTTTTTTCTTTCGTGTAAGCAATTAATTCTAGAAGTCCTCGTTGGATTATATTGACCTGTTGAAAATTCAAATGAAACTAATTAAATCAATACATGCCGCTATTGTTAAATAATAATAATAATAAAAAAAAACACTTAAGGAGAAACATAAAACTACAAAGGAATATTTTGTCAATAAACTTGTAACTTATTTATATCACCAAATCACCCACCGCCTGTCCGTAATGCATCAATTCATATTGAAGTTATTCGGTTATTGAAAAATTAATTTTATTTCCAAGATAATTATGTTGCAGGAAAAGATATTATTTGATAATAATTTCATATATATTTGGTACATTTTTTAACAATGTAAATTCTCCGCGTGTCTTTTATTTATTGAGAATTTTGGTGAAAGAAAAATAATTGACGTAGGAGGTTGAAATAAAATAGTGGGGGTGGCTTGTAATATTAGTTGATAGATAAAGAAAGTTTTTTTAAAAAATTGTATACGCCATGTAAGAATTTCCCTTTTATTATTAAGTTGTTATAAATAAAAATTGACCAAAAAAAATCTAAGGTTGTGAATAGGGATGGCAATAGGGCCCGATGGGGGCGAGTAATAGTAAACCTGCCCCTGCCCCCTTGCTGAATGAAAATTGGTCCCATACCCACCCCATATCCGTGCGGGTATCCATGAATTTCTTGAATACTCACAGATATCCATGAATATTTTTATAAATTTTTTAAGAAATTTAAAAATTATTTTACAAATAATTTTAAATTTATATTTAATGTCATTGAAATATTAAAAACAAAAATTTAATGTTAATTTTGAATTTGTATTTAACGTTAATTTTGTTGAAATAATAATAAAATTGCAATATAATCAATAACTTAAAATACATAATCTGACAAGTAAGTTAAAGTCTCATCATAAAGTTACAATAATTCAATCTCATAATTCCAAACGAAAGTAAATAACTTAAAGTACATAAATCTTATTGATCCAATCAAAGCTAGAAAATTAATCAAATTACATCTAACATAATTCTATAACATGCTTAAAACATGTTAGTAACTTCATCAACCCCACTTTTGTAAGAAAATAAGATGAGAGAGTGTAGTTTTAGGGCTATGTGGTATAAGTATAATTAAGATATTTAAGAAATAATATTAAACGGGTATCCGCGGGTATGGATATCATCATACCCGCCCGCGCCCCATTTATAAACAGGTAAAAAATTATCCGTCTCCATTATTCGCGGTACCCAATTAGCCTATCCATTTATTATCCATAGCGGATTTTATCCGCAGGTACCCGCGGGTGCGAGTATTTATGCCATCCCTAATTGTGAATAGAATAAATGAGAATGAGTTAAAAAGAAAAGGAAAATTTCACTCACCTCCCTTAATATTTGTTTAAATAACACACATTTCTCTTCTAATTTTTAAAAAACATTTACTTCCATTTAAATAGGGTTATTAATTAAAGAAATAAGGAAGAAAAAATAAATAAAAATAATTTAATTCTACCAATTATATATATTTGTCTTAAATATATTTTTAATCTTTAAATTTAGGGTAAATTTATTTTTATTTCTCAAATTTAAAATTATTATTTTTAGTTTCTGTAATTTTAAAAAATTTTATTTTAATCTTTGTATTCAAATTTTGTTAAGAAAATTATCAATCATTATTACATAAAATTTATCTATTAGTGTTCCTGTTAGTGAATATATCACATTAAATTCAGTTGATATTACATAACTGTCTTAATTTGTCATTTTTAAATATATTATTGGTGACATAAGAGATTAAAACAAGATTTTTAAAAATTACAGGAGTTAAAAATAACAGTTTTAAATTTGAAGGACCAAAAATAAATTTATTTTAAATTTGAGAAACTAAAAACATATTTAAGCCTATATTTTTGAATTATATACAATGTTCGTTCTTTTTTATGAAAATTTTCATTATTGAAATAATAATTTTCCAGCCCATTATTTGAAATTGTTCTTTGAAATTGGTAATTTTTTCAAATCACAACACACATAATATTTAAAATATAATTTAAAAGTTAAAATTAAGTAAGAAATCAAATCTCATTCAATTATTGATATTTGCATTAATAATTTATTTCTTCTAACAATATACAAATGGTGTTATCTTATATAAGGAATTGTATGTATCATATAAATAAATAAATAAAATAAGTTAATATTCACTTAAAAATTAAAGGAGAAGTATGTCATTTTAAAAGACCTCAAGAAAATCGGTGCAATTTTTCAAAATAAATAAAATAGCCACAAAAAAGAAAAACTCCAATGCAGAATCAGACCCAAGGCCCGGAAAACTATCAACTAGGAGGCCCATAAGTTAATATTACCAATGGCAACAAAATAGGTTGAACAATGTCTTCTAGTTTCGTCCACAATAAATATCATAAAATTTACAGCAATCCACACTTCTTCCTTTAATAATTGATGTTCTGCTGTCAATTATTTAAACTTTTGATAATTGGGTTGTACTTGTCCTCCCAATTAAGAATAAGGCACATATTTTTTTAGATGTTATATCCCTCAAGTTGTAGGATCTATTTGTGGAAACAAACCTTCAAAACTTGGATAAAACAATTTGCCGCATAAATTCTTCAGGTGCTGCAGAGAGGAAACCACCAAGAAGGAGATTACTTTATAAAACTTCCAACAAATTCATATATGAAACTGAATTAAGGCAACTTAATTGAATTGCAGCAGGGTAATTCCACCAAGAATTTTAGCCTTTAATGTTTTAGACCTCTTTTTAAATTATTCTATGTACTTAAGTTTTAGAATTTTGTATTCTAGAGACTAAATCAAGAATATTTTTTTCAAAAAAAAAATGGATTAATTATAAAAATTATACTTGAAGAAAAAAGAAGAAGGTTTGATTATGAAAACGTTAAATAAGAAAGTAAAAATTGTACCTTGTAGGCCCGTGAAAAGATTGAACTGACCAATAGCTTGCCTTAGGAACATTTCTACCCCACCCACAGTAATTGCTCCTGCAGCATCAGCTTCTTTCAATAATCTGGTTCTTCTTGGTGTATAAACGGCATCAAACACTAATAGGTACTCTCCCAAAGTTGCCTTCAAGAAGAAACCAAGATTAATAATTAAACTCACATAAACTTAGATGAAGTATTTTATGTTAACTTGTAATGCAAATCTTTTATTATATATCCATCTAAGTAATTTCTTGTTAGTTTTGCACTTGTTTTATTTGAATGAAGAGTGTAGAACCTCTGCCACCGGAATTCTGTCTGTATTGGGGTGCATTCCTACTGGTGTTGCATTTGCAAGAATCGCCCCTTTCTCTGGCTGAAAGCTCACCAACTCTTTGTAAGGCTGAACTTCACCATGTACATCACAAGCAAGAGATTTTGCTCTGTCTTTTTAAACAAAATAAGAGATTAAAAGAAAATTTGTCCATGCAACATTATGCAATAGAGACAAAGAAAGAAAAATGAACACATATTTAACGTGAAAAACTCTTGATGGGAAAAACCACATGCAAAAGAGAAGTAATTTACCATATTAAAAATTCTTTACATTTGAATTACATTGATTTCAATTTCTGTCATTCTTTTAAATGTCTTGTTTGAATAAGTTAATTCAAATTTTTAAAATTTTAAATTCTTAATTTCGATAGTCAATTTAATTTTAAGGAGGGTTCAAACGACACCGGTGTAACTTTTACTAAGTGTTACACCGCTCAATAACTTTATATTAAATGTAAATTTTGAAAATCCAACCGTTAGATTAGTTCATATCTCTTAGATCATATATGTCAAATTTTGTTAAAATTGAACAACTTGAAGGTAATCAAAGTGTTCATATTTTAATATATTTTGAAATGTATATATTACGTCAATTTTGTTTTATAAGAATGAAGTATCAAATCATCTTAGATTAATATAAAATTTGATATATATGATCTAAGAGATATTAACTTTCAATCTAACGGTTAGATTTTCAAAATTTACATTTAATATAAAGTTATTGAGCGGTGTAACACTTAGTAAAAGTTATACCGGTGTCGTTTGAACCCTCCTCTTTAATTTTTATTATGGATAAAATTGATTTTAAACAAATATATATTAAAATTTTAAGATTTAATTTTATAAAACTAAATATTAGCCTATTTTTAAATATTTAATAAATTTAAAAAATAATATTGGATAATATTTAATAATTTTTAAAATAAATTTTAATATTTAATAATTAAAAAAAATTATTGATATTTTTTAATGTAGACTTTGAAATAGAGAAGAGGAAGGTAAGAGAAAAAAGAGAAAGCAAATTTTCAAAAATGTTTGAATGTCAATTTTTTTGTAAATTCTTCGATGAAACAAAATATTTTACACTAAAACATTTGAAATTTTAAAAAAAATTGAATTACATCATTAAAATCCCCCCATCCAAAAACACTAGGGTATGTAGTTTCACCCACCCATCCCACCTATCCCTGTGGCCCTTTTGGGGGTAGCAAATTGCTAGACTTGACAGGTATGTTGAAGTTGATAAAAACTTCAGTTATAACTTAAGAAAGAATGAAAGGAAAATTAAATTCATAATAGACAACATGTGCCATAATTTTATACCAAAGTCAATGTCAAAGATGACTACACGAGCTCCTCTGCTTTTAGCACCAAATGCTAGTGCTTTCGCTGCACCACCCGCACCAACTAGCACAAACAATCGTCCAGCAAGGGGTGAACCTAAAGACGTTCCACCATCATTGCAACCATGATCTGATAATTGAATCATGGGAATCAGTTAACTAGTACTTGTTAAAATCACACCAATTGTAATTTGAGATTGCTAAAGAACAAGCATTGAAGTTCATCACAGAAAAATTTGACAAAACTTAGATCAAGATAATCATATCCTTGTTAACAAGTTCTCAAATCAAACAAGGATTTTTTTTTCCAACATTATAAGTTTCAGAATTTTAGAAAAACATTCATTGTCATTGTTTGATTTGAGAACTTGATGGCAAGGAAATAAGAAACTAGATCTAAGTTTTGTCCAAAAAAATTACATTGAAATTTCAAAAAAGTGGATTATTTGGAGTCGTACAATAACAAAAAAAAAAAGTTAAACATGATCAGTATTTACTTTTAAAGATGGAATCCACTCTTGGATAGGCACCTAACAATTCAAGGTTTTATAGGAAAGTTGGTCCTTGATTTTATTTCACAACCTCCTTGGCCAAATGATTAAAATTTTGACTTTTCACCTTTAACCATTCATGTAATAGCTTTGGCTTTTAGGATGTTGATTTTTTTAAAATATATTTTTGGCAAGCTCAAGGAAATTAAAATAAACACAACGGTAGGGGAGTATTACCATTGAGTGCATCCTCAATTGCAGTAATTGCAGACTCACAATCTGTATTATAACCTACAAGCTTCCCATCTGTTGGTCTCCTTATTATGGTATTAACAGCTCCTATAGACTGGTAGAACATGAAGTGAAGCAAATTGATTACGTATCTATTACCAAAAACATCGCATGGAAGAACTGCATATGAAGTCCATTTTAATAGAGCACCATTGTCATCAAGCAACAACATGCCTTACTGCATTAATTTCCCTTGAAGTTATTTTGGACAGACTAATAATGTTCCTTCAGAATAGCATCAGTTTCATTTCAAATGATCGATCAAAAAAAGATATTGTGCTCAACTCGAGAGAAAAACATACAGAAACACACACTTAATGGAAGGGCATCCTTTATTTATATTCACACCAAAATATATGGTCATATAATCATGTAAGTTGGAATAATTCATTTATTCCATCTACCAAATTTTATGTCTAACTTTATAAAACTGGAGAAAATTATTTAATGACATTTTTTTTTCTGCGATTGAATGTAGATTGTCAATCAGTACCTAATAAACTGAAGGGTCAGGTTGAAAAGCAAGAACAAGCATGATGATATATGCAGTGCAGAAAACAAGTTCTGCATGTCACCCATGCATATACAAATTAAAAGTGATTTAGTGCAAATTTTTCTAATTTATATCTTGGCTGAAAGAACAGATTGAGCCATGATTTTGGTAAAAATATAACCACTACAGAACACTACCGAATGTTGCATGGAAGAATAAGCCAACCTGAGCTAGCGGATGGACTTCATCGCAAAACCTTAGAACTTCTTCCTTATATGGAATCCCAACACTGCGGTACAAAAGAATTAGATGAGAATTTTCCATAGAAGAAAGAAATACAAACACTTCAATGACTGATATGATTACAAAAATATTAAAACATCACCATTCAAGCAAACCATAAAATCAAATAGAAGTTACGATGAGGACCTCAATGAGAAAGTGTGATTCTAACTTGTGACATACCTAAAACCACAAATATCAGGGCTTGGATAGGTGCTAAAGAACTCTTTAAGATCATCAACAAACATGGGGACATAGATTCCATTATAGTTAACATGTCTGAAGGAAGGATTATGCAATATAGGACCTTTGCTATGGCTAACTGGTTTTGAGATGAGCCCAAAAACCTTGGTATCTGCATTTACATGTTCCAATTTATAGGCTCCCCGGAGACTGTCAAGAGAAGGCACAACAGGGATTGGATTTCCTGCTAATGATCCATAGACAAAGAACCCACCAAATTTTGGACTTAGAATATGACTTATCAATCCTCTTTCACCAACAGAATAAGCAATCAATGGTACCTGCAAATTGTTACCAGAGCAGGAAAACATTAGAAAGTAGAAACAGCAAGTGTGAAAAAAGACTAAGAAAATTAATTTTGATGTAACAAAATACGAAAATATCAGAACAGAAAAAGAAGTGTTTATCAGCTTTCCTTCTTTGTAGATTAGAAATGATCCTACTTTTGTAAATCATTTCCCTACTGAACCAAACCCAAAAGAACAATATTTCCCCTCTTGGCTATAACTAGTGCCAGAACTATTATTGCTACAGTACAATTTATATTGGAAATATGATTATTCAGGAGATGTAAGCTTAAAAAGACAAAAAGTAAAAAAATAAAAACTCATGCCTGACAATGGGGAAACAAGTTAAAAATTCTTATAATTTCTGTTATATCAGCTGCATGTGTCACAAGTTTGATGATATCTGCTCTGGCAGCTTGCATTTGTGCAACAAGTTGAAGGAGTTCTTCTTGCGGAGGGGTGATTCCATCCACATTGCAGGAAACAATCATTTTTCCATGACTATTATGATTTCTCTTATGTTCCACCAAGGTTGGAAGACAAGAAGCTGCCTGAACAACCAAGTGGTATTCCATTAAATTGTGTCTTAAGAATATCATTGCTATGCCGTTAAATTGAAATTATTATAAGATTAGGGGAAAAGAAACAAATTATAGATTGGATGCAATGAACAGCGTGGCACTTTCTCAAAGAAACCAATTTCCATATGTTAACAAAAATCATACCTCCAACTCAACTTCTATGAAATCAGCCACCAATTCCACAGCAAGCTTCAATGCTTCCAATCGCATGTTCTCATCGCCTTCCCATTTTGGCCTTAAAAAAAAGCAAATAAAACAAATATACTGAATGCAAATGATTAAGCATGTGAAAGTAAAGAAAGAATAAGACACTTGACCATCGATTGATTTTAGATTACATCTCTATAAACAACTTAATTAAATACTTATTCAATAAGCACTGATAAAATGAAAGTACAATTATTTAAAATGGTTAAATGACTATTCATAATATGAACCAATGATGTAACAGTTACCGCTCTTGGCCTCTACATATAAACAAAGAGTGAGATTCAATAACAGGATAAGTTTGTTGTATTGCTAATGAAACAAGACATGAGATGTATTACCAGTCAACAATAAGCACTGGTAGAGGCTTATTTTGGAGAATGATTTTGAGGTCACGGCGAGGGTTGAAGTTGGTGATGCAGTCAAGCTTAATCTCCACTAGATCAGCACCTTCTGCCTTTGCCTGATGCATGTCATTCACAATTTGCTCAATAGATACAGATCGTTGTGTTGCTGTGATTGGAGCACAAACCATAACAGAAGGTTTCCTCACATCATTACTACCCATTTTTGATTGGCAGAAACAGTCCAAAAACTATTGCAGAGATTAAGAGAAGCAAAATACGTAACAATGTCCCTCAGGGGTTCAGTCGTTATCAATAGCTGACACAGCTCCAACAAGGTTGCATAGAATTGGAACACAACTAACAAGCTTTGCAGTAATTGTTCATTTTTTTTTTTGAGACATGTATTTCAATGATTTATCGAGTGTGCTAATTTAATTCACTAGAAATAGGGTTTCGTTGGTATAATTTTGTTCATACATTTATAAGAAAGAGAACAAGAAAATAAAATGAAGTGAGATTCTCCAATAAGTTAAATCAACTTACGCATCTCAATTAAAATAAGTATTTTTCAAAGATGCCAACAACAATCACATGGAGAAATGAAAACTTAAAATTGTTGTCCCAAATGCCAACTGTCCATTGTAATTTTCTACTGTTTCCACGTATAAATTTGCTGTAAAATACCTTCTATCTGCAACATAGTGCCATCCAGCTAAAAGCATGTTGTCTATAATGTTCTTGTAATTATTTTTACTCACATGCCCAAAATAAAATTAAGGGGGGTGTATTGGTTTAGGATTTCGTAGTTGAGGGCCGACCTGGCCGGCGGCGCTTTCCCACTCTCCTTCGCCTCCTTCGCCCTCTTGGCGAGCATCGCGGTTACGTCCAACTTGCCTCCGGCCATCAATCCTACAAGAAAGCAAATTTTAACATCAATTTAAAAACTGATTAAGTAACTGAATCCTAGCACACATACCTAGCAAGACCATCTCAAAATGAGACGTCTCAAAAATTTCCAATAGGTCTCGGACAGGAAGCTCCTTCGGCAGTTGATCTAACAAATCCACAATCTCCTTGTCCTCGGCAGGGAGTTTTGAGGCAGGGATCACCTCAAAGCGCGTCGGACGCCTCGTCCAGTAGAAGGGGAACAGCGGGGAGTCTTCTCGGTCATAAAAGCAATCCCGCATCTCCGACCCCCAGCGAACCTTGAAAATTCCACTTTTAAATCCCTTGTACGAAGAGGTGAAGGCCCGTAGAAAGCCACGTTTCGGTACCCGAGCTAAAGAAACCCACTTCACCGGTTTGCTCGGGCGGCAAGTATAATAATAAAGAAATGCGAGTGGCCGAGGCGTGAGGCCGAGACAAAGACACAAGTTTCGAAATGCTTGCATGGCCGCCCAAGCATTAGGGTGCAACTGGGTCGGCGCCACATTTAGGGTTCGGAGAACCCCCATCTGAAAATCATCAAAGGGCAGCTCTATGCCGAGGTCCTCGAACCAACACATGTATGCGTAGAAGTAATCGTCTTCACCAGGTTCCGCCTCCAAGAACACAAAATCGGTGTCCGGTCCATCGTCTTCACACGCCTCGGCAAGCAGCGGAAACTCCTCGCCCCCACCCCCGAAGCACTTCTCAGAAGAGATGAATGTGTCCAACAGGCCCTGGTCGGATAACTTCGAAAAGTATACACCGACCTCTCCGTCCACCCACTCGTACCCCGGCATCTCCACGGTACCATAATCCACCTTCGGCTTAGTCCGGACATTCGGACCGGCTATAGCCTTGCCTCGATTATCCTCGACCATTTCCAACTCATCCCCATTGCCTTCGGCAAGGACGGTTACTATATGGGGTCTCGGTTGCTCGGCCTGCGCTAAGCCTCTGTCGTCAACCTCAGTAGCACGAGCCAAAGCCACCGCCAGGGTCGTCGGCGGCGATATCTCTATCACTTTGTCCCCACTGTCATCTTTCTCGGGATGGTCGGATGGGAATACCACTTCACATTGCAAAGGGGGCAACCTCGAGACCTCACTCGAATCCGATCCTTCCCTATCCGACGAGGCGTCCGATGCCCCCGACGACGTCCAACTCCTAGCCGAAGAATAACC